TTAACCAGGGTTGTTTAGACCCTGTTGGTTTTGCACCTTCTTTCTGGTGTATCTTTTTTTGCTACACCCACAGGGGTATGTATTAAAGATTAAAAAAAAAGGAAAGTATACATACATACATATATATATATATACAGTATACACACATACACACAAAAGCTCCCTGTACCCGTGGACCATACAGAGCTCGGCCACGCTACAACAGAGGTAGCGGAGGGGGGAGAAAGAAATTGACAGGGGGGGAGAAACTGACAGGGAGGGGAATTGATGGGAGGAGGGGAATGAGAGTGGGAGGGAGGTGAGAGTGAGCCAAAGGGGAGGGAGAAGAGGGACAGGGGAGAAGGTGACAAGGGGAGAGTGACAGAGGGGGAGAGGGGAAGAGGGGAGAGAGTGATAGGGGAGGAGAGATTGACATCATCACACACACACACAATCACACACAATGCACCCACCACACACAAGACAATGCACACCCCTTGGAGGGTGAAAGTGACAAGGGAGGAGAAAGAGAGGGACAAGGGGGAGAAGAGAGTGACAAGGGGAGAAGAGAGTGACAGAAGGGGGGAGAGAGGGAGAGGGGGAGAGTGACAAGGGAGGGGGAGAGATTGACATCCATCACACACACACACAATCACACACAATGCACCTTACACACAAAGACAATGCACCCCTTGCACACAGAAAAACACACAATGCATTACACACACACATGCAATACACCCCACACACAATGCACCCTTACACACACAGAAACACACAATGCATTCCTTACACACACTAAATGCACCCCATACACACACTCAATGCACCCCTTACAGACGCACACACTGCATCCCGTACATACACAGAAACACACCTTGCAGCCCTTACACATACAAACACAGATTCACACAATGCATTCCATACACACATATCAGGACATCCCCTACACACTCCACCCCCTGTGAACAAACTCAATGGTGGAACATGAAGGTGGACTCTGGGACCCAGACCTTGAGCTGTGTAAAGGTCCCCTAAAAAAATGGAGCTGCTTCCCGTTCTCCCAGAACATTGATTTTCGTGACCACAGTTACAAACAGCCTCCAGAGATCCTGTTCTACACCAGACCAGTGGAGCCAGACTGCAGCTAGAGCCCATCATCATCCTCATCTGGTTGTAAGTAGGCAATCTAGTATATTATTCGTGGCACTAATCTCTAATTTACCTCACATTAAATGGACACTATAGTCCCCAGAACCCCTGCAGCTTAATTTAGTGGTTCTGGTGTCTAGCCTGTCCCTGCAGGCCTTTTAATGTAAACACGGCAGCACTGCAGCACTAGCGTTAGTTAACATGGCAGATCATATGGGTGGGGCATTGTGATGTCACATGGGAGGGGAGGGGCGGCAAAGTTTACTTTTGCCTAGGGCGGCAAAAATCCTTGCACCGACCTTGGGTGAAGTATGTATGTATGTGTGTGTGTGGGTGATCTGTGTATGTGGGTGAAGTGGTGATGTGTGGTAGGAAGTGTGTGAGGGGTGCACTGTGTGTGTATGCAAAGGTGTACTCTGTGTGGGTGGGAGTGTACTGTGTGTGGGGAGTTCACTGTCTGTGATCGTATACTGTGTTCTGAGGGTTGTAGAGAGTGGGATAGGGAAGGGCTTTATTATTTTTACTTTAATAATGTTTAAAAAAAAAAAAAAGAATATTCCCCTTACCTTGCACAATCAGCTCTGTGGTGATTGTGAGGCTGCTTATCCATCAGGTACAGGGGAGGTCACGAGATGAGAGGTATCTCTCTTGGAGCTCAGGCACTTACAAAGACTGACCCATACAAACCCACAGACTGACCCTCCCACACAGACTAACCCATACACATACAGACTGCCATCCCCACAGACTGCCGCATACACACACACACACTCGCAGACTGACCTATACACATGCAGACTGCCACCCTCACACACAAACTGACCTATACACACACACACAGACTGCCCCCCACACAGACTGACCAATACACACACAGACTGGCCGGCTACCCACGTACTGACATTGATAAACACACACACACACACACACACACTGAGACTGACCCATACACACACACAGACTGACCCCCCCACACAGACTAACCCACACACACACACAGACTTCCCCCCCACAGACTGCCGCATACACAAGCACACACGCAGACTGACCTATACACACGCAGACTGACCCCCCCACACAGACTAACCCACACACACATACAGACTTCCCCCCACAGACTGCCGCATACACATACACACTCACAGACTAATCTATACACACGCAGACTGCCACCCTCACACACAAACTGACCTATACACACACACACAGACTGTCCCCCACACAGACTGACCAATACACACACAGACTGGCCCCCTACCCACGTACTGACATTGATATACACACACACACACACACACACTGAGACTGACCCATACACACACACTGACCCCCCCACACAGACTAACCCATACACACACAGACTGCCCCCTCACAGACTGACGCATACACAAGCACACACGCAGACTGACCTATACACACGCAGACTGACACCCCCACACACAAACTGACCCCCCCACACAGACTAACCCATACACACACAGACTACCCCCCCACAGACTGCTGCATACACAAGCACACACGCAGACTGACCTATACACACGCAGACTGACACCCCCACACACAAACTGACCTATACACACACACACAGACTGCCCCCCACACAGACTGACCAATAGACACACAGACTGGCCCCCTATCCACGTACTGACATTGATATACACACACACACACACACACAGAGACTGACCCATACACACAGACTGACCCACATCCTTAAAGTTCTTACAGTAAAAAAACCTTTCCTTTGCCTTAGACAAAATCTTCTTTCTTCCAGTCTATGTAAAGTCCGGTTTGTGAATAGATTTCCACACAATGGTTTGCATTGGCCCCGAATATGTTTGTATAATATTATCATATCCCCCCTGATGCAACGTTTTTCTAAACTAAATAGGTTTAAATTTGTTAACCTTTCTTCAAAGCTGATATGTTCCATTCCTTTTATTAATTTTGTAGCTAGTCTCTGCACTTTTTCTAGTGCCATAATATCCTTCTTTAGAACAGGTGCCCAAAATTGCACAGCATATTCAAGGTGTGCTCTTACCAGTGATTCATAAAGAGGCAAAATGATATTCTCATTCCGAGAATTAATGCCCTTTTTCATGCATGACAATACCTTACTGGCTGTAGCCAGAAAACATTAAAGCGGCACTGTCATGCCAAACTTGCCTTTCCCTAATCGCTTCCTCTTCTCTTCCTCTCTCAGGATCTGTTCTTCATTTCTTCCTGTGTGCTCTAGTTTTCTTTAAAACATAAGACAAATTAGGGACTATTTTGTCTTATGTATATTTCCTACGCCTGACCAGCTATGACCAGCGGAGGAGCAAAGTGTGCTCCAGTTCCCGTGGTCTGAGAAAATTTCCCACAATTCTCCCCTTTCCTCCGTGACCTCGCGATGCCCCCTTTCACTATTCCCGAATGTCCTGTCATTTAGAAAGAACGCCAGCGAAACTACTGATGTTCATCCTAACAGAATGAGAACAATTTGTTCATTCATGTTAGGACGACAAATGGTACTTTTAGGTCGGTTCAAAATTTAATTCTAATGAATGAAATTCCGATATGATACGATCCGTGCGATCCACGGTATTAAAGAACTATCTACTAAAAGGCTGAAAGCCAACTTTTTAAAATGACTTAGTATTAGTAATTAATCTTCCCCTACTCGCTTTACCACGAGTAGGGGCATGTCTAATAAACAGTGAGCAGCCTGTGGCCACTCACTGTTATAAAAAATAAATAAAGCATCCCCCAATAAATACCCCCCCATGGTCGGTCATCTCTTAACTAGCCGTGGGAGAACATAGTGTCCCCCCCCCGAATCCCCATCGGTGCTCCGTGAGTGTGGGCTATTCAACTAACACTATGTCCCCCTGCTAGTGGGCTATTCAACTAACACTATGTCCCCCTGCTAGTTAATGCCCCAACGTGGGGCCATTTGTTGGAAGGGGGGGCTTTTTTTTACAACAGGCCACAGGCTGCTCACTGTAGGCATGCCCCTACTTGCGGCATAGTAGCTCCCTCCTTGTTATAAATTGAACGAACAAACAAACATCGATGGTGTTTGTTTGTTCGTCTGAAATTTCTATTCATTCCTTCTGACAAATGAATAAATATACCAAATTTGGACAATTGAGAATGCCCAAGTGTTTAATTGTGCATGCGCGGGAATTTCACAGCGCTATCTAGTGGGCGCAGATGATGTGACCCACAGGGACTTCATCTGCCCACACAAAGATGGCGGCGCCCAGGACCTGGGTCCAGGCACAAAATGAAGATTCAAAATTAAGTAGTATGAGGGGCTTAGGGGCATTTGGGAATGACGTGGGGGGCAGTTAGATGTAGTGGAGTCGGGAGGGAAATTAAAAAAAAACCTGGATTCGGCCATGTCAGTGCCGCTTTAAATACTGGACGATATCTAACAAACACAACTGCGGAACTTATGTTGAGGGCATATTTGGTAAGTTTTATTTTATCCAAGGTGTCCCTAAAGTATACATTTTCTAGAAGTGTCCCAGTGTAAACAGGCAATATGATTACTCCGATACACTTATTTAACTAGTTTAACTTAGAAATTTAACCTCCAGGAGAAATGAAAATTCAGGGTTTTCCCAGTGTGAGCAATATCTATTTGATATCTAGAATGAGATTCCCAAAGTTGACAAAAGTAGTTTTCTACGTTCATTCTCCACATCTCTCTCCTGTCTGGTAGGACATGGGTTAAGTGGTATATTCAAGGTCAAAATTTTAAAAATTTTGTAACATATTTCGGAGGTCAGGGAGTGGATTTTGACTGAGCTCACACACATTTGGGGTGTGTCCTTGTTTTCACCAAACCTGTTCTATGTTATGTCTCTTTATTCATCGTAGACGTAGCTATTCAGCTGATAGACGAGGACTGGCTACTCCCCCCAAAGACCTTCCAGTGTTGAATGGGGGGAGAACGCTTAAAGGAATCATTTAGGATATTCAAAACATGGCGATTGTCTGGACAGCGTTCCTACTACTGTTCAATATCTCTCCAGGTGAGTGGATGGTTGAGCTGCATGTGGATAGTAAGGGTTTCGTTGTATATTTTTCAGTGGTAAATATTCATTATCATCCAGTGAGGGTGCTGAGATATTTATATGAAGTCCTCTGATTGTTCCTAAGTACCATCACTATTGTGCGTTATATTTCAGTTATTATACAGTTAGTGTGTTGAGATATTTAGCTCACTGTGTGTCTTGGTGTTACAAAGTGCAGCCTTACATATCTAGGTGAAGGCATGTTGATGAAACTAAATATTTACACATCCCTGATACACGTTCAGATGAGTATTTCGATAGATAGATAGATAGATAGATAGATAGATAAATAGATAGATAGATAAAATTACCATTCAGCTTGGACAGGCTTGTGGTACTGACTGTCATTTTAATATTGTTGCATACGATTTGTAAATGATTTAATCTTTTTGGATAAAAAAAATAAAAAAATTCAAAATATTAAAATATAAAAACTTATATCAGTTTATCAAAAAATATAAAAAAAAAATTAAAAAATACATGAAATAATTTTAAACATTTATCCAAAAATATTAAATCACTGGAAACAACGTATTCAGAAATATTAAATTGAGGACATAGTAGTTATCGTTCTTGTTGGGGTTAAAGATGGTTTTGGATGAATGTGAGCCGATACCTGTGTATACTGTGTATGTTTTGTGGATTACTCAGAATTTCTCCAATTGATATATTTGTTTAAAATTACCTTTTTCGCTGATACATATTGTATATCAAATGAAAAGTCCAAATATGTAACTTTTGTTTTAAATCACGTAGATCAGCAGCTTTTAGATAAAGATATAAAATTAAATAAAACATTGTAGCAAAGAATGTTGGGCTTTAGTTAAGGGACACGTCAGTCTTGTGGATTGCAACTGTAGAGGTTCTAATGAGATGGACAGACAGTCTTGCACATTCTTGTCTACGGTAATGGTCCGATAACGAAGGTAAATGTGTCGGATTACCCATGTCAATTCTAGTATAGCCTTACAGCATTATAATTACACATTATGCTTGACAGACAGCATAATGGTTGCCTTTAAAACAAATCTAAACTAGTCATTTGTTTTAAAGAGACATCAGAGCCAAAAAAATTAGATCTATTTGACCAATCTTGTGCACATGCTCCTAAGAGAGAGCTGGCAAGGGTAGTGCTGGGCCACAAACAAACTAAGATGTGAGCTGCTGTCTGAAAAAAAAAATTCTGCTGCATCTGGTTGTCTCCTGGTACAGTACCGCTGGAGAGAGGTGACAGAAGGGAATTTTGGATGGAGCTTGCCAGCTCAACACTGTATGGATTTAAGCTTTTATGCTTGGACTAATGGCCATGATATCAAACTATCGAAGGTTTGACTAGTGCAAATATTCGGTTAAGAGATTTGTTTTTCCAATTATCCACAATTCCCGGTTTAGTGACTATACCTTGCTTGTATGTTTGTGAAGCATGTCCATCCTCTGTGCTTACTTGGTAAATTCTTCAAGTGCTAATTCAGTGTTCTGACTGTCCGTTAAGAAATATTGGGATTCTGAGGCCAGATAGGATTTTTTGTTTTTTGAATTCTTTATTTTTGCGGTGCATATAAAGAGAAACATATGGAATTCCAGACATGACATCGAGTCATCCGGTAAGAGATCTCCTGGTACGTGTAGGCTTCTGTTTCCTACTATCATTCATTTATTTCCTTTTAGCTTTGATGGGGGCTTTCTTTTACTAGTAGAGATCTCCTGCCTGTTTGCTAGCCCTGTTTCCATCCATCTGTTTCCACTCCCTAGGGTCAGTTTTTTCTGCCCACCACCTGCATGACATCGAGTGGTATTGCGATGGTGTAGAGTATCAGACATGTTGAGAAAATTGCACCATTTAAAAAAAAAACAAGCATTGTGAATCAGATAACACGCTTATGTAACAGTAGTAAACTTTTAGTTGTGTTCTGGGTACCCGTTGTGGTGTGACCATATGTTCTAGTATGTGTGTCCGAGTTTACTTGTCGCTTGACCTGGGCCCTCTTTTGGGGGTCGCTTGTCTTTCTGGTGAGTGCTGTAAGGGCATCCCTGTCGTGGCTACAGTCGGTACCCTTTGACTTGTGCTTATGGGTCTGTGGTGCCCGACTGAAGGCTAGCTAGGTGTGGTCGAGTGCTGCGTTGAGCAGGTCTGTGTTGGGCCCACTAGAGTTGCTGCAGTCAGTCGGTTGTTGTGTGGGTATGAGTATGCAAAGGTCTGTGGGTGTGGCAGTCTGTGGGTGCCTCTTGTCGTGGGTGGCTTTGCTGGTCCGTTTTGGGGCCTAGATAGTAGCGGTGTTGTGGTGGCAAATGGGTGGGTTAGTTTGGTTTGTAGTGCCCCTAACCAAGGGGACTGCGGGGGGGGGGAGAGTCGTGGTGGGCGTGTGGCCCTATTCCTATCCTCCTGTCACCTGGGACGGTGCACCGGGGTTGGTAATCCTGTCCAGCCTTGGGAACAACATAAAACATAACGAACTATCAAAACAAGAATAAATTTTTGCAGGAGGAGTGCAGTTTGTATCTGTCTGCTTCTCTTTGGAGTTAGGACCCAGTCATGTCACAATGCCCGTGGCCGAGTGGTTCCATGGGGTAAAGGCGACTATTGTGGCTGGGTCCCAGGTCGGTGTTGCCCTCTGGTCTCTTGGCTCCTCGTCAGGGGCTGTCAGTCCCAGTGCTCGCAATAATGTGGGCGCCTCTTCAGCAGAGGTGATCCTGTGGATAGTCCCATTGTGGCTCACTGTGAGAGCTCGTCGGGTAGTTCATTGGTATGAGATTCCCACTTGTCTTAGTCGGCTTGTGGCCTGGAGGAGAGATTTGCGCCATTGTTACATTGTTAGGTGGGCCTTAACAGGTCCTGGTAGAAGGATAGATCAGCTCCCTCGAATGTGTAGGGAGTTCGGTTTCGTAGTGCAGCAAGTAGTGCCTGTTTGTCTTGGGCTAATGCGCAGCGGACTATGGTGTCACTCACTGAGTTTGTTGGGGCTTTTGGCAGGCGGAATATGCCATCAAAGGTGAGTTTTTTGGCTTGTGGAGGCGATAGTAGCAAGGCCGTTAGGTGCCTCAGGTAGTGGGGTATCTCTGCCATGGTGACAGACTCTGGCACCCCTCTTATCTTCGGGTTGTTGCACCTGGAACGGTCCTCTAGCATAGCAAGGTGTGCAGAAAAGGTTTGTTGCGTCTTTTGGATGGTTTGAATAGAGTCTTTCATTGTAGATACTTCTTGCCTTATATCTATGATGTACTCTTCGCTTGCTCTGACTTTGTCAGTGACCATCTGTAGGTCGGCCTGAATGATTGCTACGTCTGTGGCTAGCGTCTGGCGGAATTCATATGGGATGCGCCCGAGAAGATCCTCCAGGTGTTCAGGAAGATGGAAGGCCGCGGCCTTTTTCCGCCGCCGGTTTTGTCCGGTTGTTGCAATAAACGCCATGTATCGAGGCCGGGTTGCCTCCTCTCCCTTGTGCCGTCTTTGGTGTGGCTGGATGGGCTGTTAATTTTGAGAATTTTGGCGGATTGTTCAGGATGCCATCAGAACGGTGGAAAATGGCGCCTGCTTCGTTCCGCGGCTGAGCCCCACCCCCCCAGATAGGATTTTGATGGGATTGGGGGGTGACTGTTCTGCTGGTGATCCCTAAGTAAGACCTAAATTTAATATTTTGCATAAGCTCTTCAAATTATTTAATAATTTTTGACCAAGTTTTAAAAATAATTTCATAGTTTATTAAATATTTAAATTTTTGATTATATATTTTTCATTATTTTAATATTTTGAAAAAATATATTATATATTTATCCAAAATTGCAAAATAAAAAGCTTATCCAAAATTTAAAATGAAGATCTAAATGGGAAATAGCAAACGTTAAAATGTTACATTGATGTTTTATTATATTATTGCTTAAATGGCTTCTTTTAGTGGTACGTAAGCAATTAACTTATCTGAAACAAACAAAATAAACTAACAACAAAAACTAATCACAGTTTTCTTTTAAAACTAACCTTTGGAATGTCCTACAAAATGTAGCAATTTCACTAACAGGAGCACATGGCTTGGCATTTCCTGGTCTCCAGTTTTATGCCACCATAGTGTGTGTGCGCTTGTGTATAGTGTTTTGTTTGACTAGTGAACAGTTGGGAATATAGAACAATATTACCCATAAACCTTAGCCTCCTTCCTTCCTTAAAGGACCACTATAGTGCCAGGAAAACATACTCGTTTTCCTGGCACTATAGTGCCCTGAGGGTGCCCCCACCCTCAGGGTCCCCCTCCCGCCCGCCTCTGGAAAGGGGAAAGGGGTTAAAACCTACCTTTTTCCAGCGCTGGGCGGGGAGCTCTCCTCCTCCGATCCTCCTCTTCTCCTCCCCGTCGGCTGAATGCGCAAGCGCGGCAAGAGCTGCGCGCGCATTCAGCCGGTCACATAGGAAAGCATTCATAATGCTTTCCTATGGACGCTGGCGTGCTCTCACTGTGAAAATCACAGTGAGAAGCACGCAAGCGCCTCTAGTGGCTGTCAATGAGACAGCCACTAGAGGAAATAGGGGAAGGCTTAACCCATTCATAAACATAGCAGTTTCTCTGAAACTGCTATGTTTATGAAAAAATGGGTTAACCCTAGCTGGACCTGGCACCCAGACCACTTCATTAAGCTGAAGTGGTCTGGGTGCCTAGAGTGGTCCTTTAACCCTACTACTGTATTGTACCGCTATTGTATATATATTTTGGTCCTTGTAGCAGCACCTCTATGGAGGAATGCATGTTCATGGTGTGCCCCAATACCCTTTTTTCGGTATCCTTCATTAGAACAAGCCAACTGATGCTGAGATTTTTATCATAACTTTTCAATGCATCCTATCGGTGTCCATATAAAATGTATCATTCTTGCAGTCCGTAATTTTTTTAATACCATAGGTTATGTCGTGGCAGCCTTTGACTAGTTTAAATTATGACATTCAGGGTGTGTGTGAAGAGAATGGCAAAGTGACATATTTATGGGTAAATACGTACGACATTTCATTAATAAGTGGGTCAAAAAATCTCCCAGCAATACGACAGTGATTCATATATAAAGCATTCCGATCTATCTCTATCATTTACGCGGTTTATACGCCTGCTTATTCATACTATGATGTCACACGACAATCTGTACGTCCGTCCTGCTTTAGTTCTCTGCTGTCCCTTATCTAGGGACACCATGGAACTGCCCCCAGGCAGCATAGCGTGAGCACATAATTAGATGCGTTCGCACTGTGCAGCAGGTAGTATGTATAAAGTAATTAAAAGATATATAATTGGTTCAGTAAATAGTTAGAATTTTAGACCTCTTTCTTTTTTGAGATTCTTGAGCATATGAAGAAGGGTGTTGTCATGCTGTCAGTTTCCATGATACAGTCACAGTGTATTAACCCCCTAAGGACTGGCCTGTTTTGGCCATGTTGTACGTTAAGGACCAGGCCTGTTTTAACACTTTTGTGGTGTTTGTGTTTAGCTGTAATTTTCCTCTCTCTCATTTACGGTTCCCATACAAGTTATATATTGTTTTTTTCAGGACAAGAAGGGCTTTCTTTACATACCATTATTTGTATCATGTCATATATTTTATTTAAAAAAAATAATAAAATATGGTGAAAAACTGAAAAAAAAACATGTTTTTGGACTTTTACTTGGAAAATCTTTTACTTATCTACAAAAGCTAATGAAAAAAACAGCTAAATAGATTAAAAATGTTGTCCCGAGTTTAAAAACACCCAGTGTTTAGATGCTTTATTGCTTTTTTTGCAAGTCATAGACCTATAAATACAAGTAGGAAATTGCTGTTTCAATATATATATTTTAAATGTATCAATAGTGACATTGTAACACCGTTATCTGTCATAAATCCTCGAATCACACCTCACATGTACATATTTTTTTAAAGTAGACAACCCAGGGTATTTAAAATGGGGTATGTCCAGTCTTTTTAGTAGCCACCTTGTCACAAACACTGGCCAAAGTTAGCATTTATATTTGTTTGTGTGTTAAAAATGCAAAAACCGCTAACTTTGGCCTGTGTTTGTGACAAAGTGGCTACTAAAAAAGGCTGAACATACCCCATTTGCAATACCTTGGGTTGTCTCCTTTTGCAAATGATATGCCATCATGGGGCTGATTCTCATTCCTGGGCTATCATATGCTCTCAAAGGCAACATAACCAATCTGACAAATTTCAATAAAAAAAAAAAAGTAAAATCAAGCCTTATAGTTGACCCTGAAACTTTCACAAACACTATAAAACCTCTACATGTGGGGTACTGTTTTACTCAGGAGACTTTGCTGAACACAAATATTAGTGTATCAGAACAGTGAAATGTATCACAGCAATAATATTATCAGTGAAAATGCCGTTGCTGTGTGAAAAATGCAAAAAAGGTCACTTTCACTGACAATATCATCGCTGTGATATGTTTTACTGTTTTGAAACACTAATATTTGTGTTCAGCAAAGTCTCCTGAGTAAAACAGTACCCCCCATGTACAGGTTTTAGGGTGTCGTAGAACGTTACAGGGTAAACACAGTGCTAGCAAATTAAATTCTCTGGACTTTCGGCCTGGGTTGGCAGGCAGGTCCCTCAAATTGCAATCATTAAAATTACTTAATTAGGTAAAAATATTACATAAATACGCACGTAGAATTTTAATATATACACATATTTATATATTTGACGTCTACGTGTATATTTATGAAATTATTTATGTAATTATGTATATGGACATATGTATATTTTGTATTATTTTTATTTATTTATACATACATATATATATCATTACATTCTGAGTGCATTTTGATATAAATATATATATATATTAATATCAAAATACTGTTAGAATAAAATTACATATATATAATTTTTATTAATTATTAAAAATAATTTTAACTTTTTGTTTATTTTTATTAACATATTATTTATAATTTATAATATATATATATATATACAATATATATAGTTATTATATATATTGTATAAATACGTGTGTAATTTAAATTAAAAGTTTTTTTATATTAATATACGTATATATAAATATAAAACACTTAGTATGACATTATATATATGATATATATATACATATATTATATATAGATATAATACATGTGTATATATATCATATATATAGAAACATATATTATTTTTTTTTTACACTGATTGCTTTATTTTTTAACTTTATTTTTGATTTTCCACTTGCAGGGAGACTGCCTGTCAGCACAGACAGTCCTCCTGCAGGCAGATACACAGACACCTATTGCAGTCATGTGATCGAGTGATCACGTGGCCGCGGGGTCCTGATGTGCCGAGGGGAGACTTCCCGTGCAGACAGGCAGTCCCCCTGGACCGGGAGGAGCACTGATCGCTGCCGGGGGAACGACGGCGATCAGGTAAGTAGCCCCAGACCCTTATGATGGTTCAGGACTGTCATCGGTCCCCAAGGGGTTGAGGATATCACGATTTTGGCTTCTTTGAATTTAACCGGATAACGACAATTATGTAGTTATCTAGAACACAGTGGTGTATATTTCTATTTTGGAACTTTTTGTTCTAGAGATCAGGCTAGCTACAGATGTAATGATCTGGGCAGTTTTCAAGCTTGATAATTGATAACAGGTCTAGGGTGTTTACCATGCTCTTTAATTAAATAACTTTTGAAACAGAATAAGAGTATAAAGGCACTCAACTATACAACCCAGTGCAGCCATAATACACCAAATCCAATGTCGCCTTTTTACTTCACACTTAACAACGATCATACATACCCAGCGGAAACCCACACAGTGGTTATAGTTACCATTCTCATAAATACCAACTTCTCATACCTATAAAAATAATATCCTACAAAAGAAGATAGGATAAAACTGATATAGTGCAATCTGTATATACACAAGAAATATTGTTTTCCAAAATCGGGTCACTCACATTCTTTTGAGCGTATAAAGTTGGCTCTGAATTTCTGGACTTAAAGGACCACTATAGTGCCAGGAAAACATACTCGTTTTCCTGGCACTATAGTGCCCTGAGGGTGCCCCCACCCTCAGGGATCCCCTCCCGCCGGGCTCTGGGGAGAGGAAGGGGTTAAACTTACCTCTTTCTCCAGCGCTGGGCGGGGAGCTCTCCTCCTCCTCTCCTCCCTCTTTTCCTCCTCTTCGGCTGAATGTGCATGCGCGGCAAGAGCCGCGCGCGCATTCAGCCAGTCCATAGGAAAGTATTCACAGTGAGAAGCACACAAGCGCCTCTAGCGGCTGTCAAGAGACAGCCACTGGAGGCTGGATTAACCCTATTATAAACATAGCTATGTTTATAAAAAAAAAAGGGTTAATCTTAGATGGACCTGGCACCCAGACCACTTCATTAAGCTGAAGTGGTCTGGGTGCCTATAGTGGTCCTTGAAGCTTCCTGAATTCTAATGAATAATATGACGTGCCTGTGTGAACCATTGATTCCATCACAAATAGGAATATGGTCCGCAACCATGGATACGAGACTCACTTCTTTATCTAATCCTAATCATAGATAAATTAGAAAATTCCAATGTTTCCAACCTAAATATTATTGATACAATGACTTTAACTGCATCCATGCACTATTTTAAATTTCACATTATATCATGTGAAAGTCACCTGATTTCCTAATATTACATTGTACTGTGAAAAAAAACATACACAAGTGTAGAAATCTTGGTATACAATGTGAGCACTAAGGTAGTGCACAATATAAAAATACAACCTTGGTGTACAAGGTGCAGGGCCGCATGAACATAGGGGCAGATGGAGCTGCAGCTCCAGGCCAATGCCTATGAAATAGGACAAATGATTTAAAAAAAAAATGTATGTGTATAATTTTTTTTTTCTACCACTCTTCAAATGCTCTTCATTAAGTATAGAAACTTAAGAGGGATGTAGGGGAACAAAACTGGTTTGGACTGGCTGACAATGTAATTAGTTAAGGTAAAGCTGACTTTGCGCACTATGCAAATGCTCTTGCTGCTTCACTCTAACCCTGTGGCATGTTCCCTTTCTTGTACAATCACTACATACACTTTTTCTCTATCCTAGGCTGTATAACTGGAGCTTCTGCCTGCTAGTAAGAAGGTTAGGAGAAGAGTGGACCAGTGAGTGTTAGGGGATGGTCCTTAGAAAGCTAAGAGCTAGCGCATGACATGAATTAACGCCAGGCTGACCATCCAATTCTTTGTTCAAATACGCCCCCTTTTTGGGCATGTTTGTCCCTTTGGGCAGTTCTGGTTACGTGATTCACGTCAGTGGCCCACCCATTTACCCCCCCAACCAAAATCCTGCTTCAGTGGATACTGCTATCAGGGGGTATGGATTTACTTGAAAGATGAAAGCGAGAGATTAGCATAGGACATGTGTTTTCTGATAGCTATGTCCTGTTAGGTTCCTTCCAGCACAACCTCCACCAGATACATGACGCTTGGGAGGTATGACTGTTTTAGTGATACAACTACATGTCTGTTCGTCCACCCATTGTAAAGCGCTGTGGAATTTGATGGCGCTATATAAATATCATAATAATAATATATGATTCAGTATTTAGGCCCATTGTATTGTCAGTACTGGCCCAATTGGCTCTTAATCCGGCCCTGACAAAGTGGGAAATATAATGGAAACCTAATGGAGAAACAAACTGGGCAGGTTTCAGAATAAGGATTAGATTTGTTAGTATATTTTCCACCTTGTACACCAAGTTTGTATTCTGTGTTTTGCACTATATTAGTGTGTGTATAGTGTGTTAGGGCACCGCCAGCTGCCAGCACGGTGCCTGCAGACCGGGGAGGGAGATCTGTGATCTCCCCTCCGATCCACAGGCACATTGCAGGGCTGGCGCCTGCATGTGCTGGCAGGGGAGAAGGAGACTGTCGGATTTCTCAGGGGTGGGGTAATTGCCCCGTTGCCCCCCCCCCCCCGGATCCTCCACTGATTAGTGTTCACATTATATAACAAGATTTCTACACTTTAATATGCATTTTTTCCCCGTTAGTTTGAATTGTTTTGAGGGTACACAGTTTAGTAGGTTTCTGGCTCTCATTTATAATCTGCATCATTGTGGTTTTATTCATTTGTTTCATTACATTGTCCTTTGTTTCATTTTAGCAAATGAAGCCATTTTCAGATATAATATTGATACTATACATGGTTACGAGAGAGAGAGAATTGTCGTGACTACAAAGTGCATTTGAAATTAAAGGCCAAAGTAGCAAACTGGAATCAATCGACTATGTCTCCATTTTGTCTACTTGGGACTTAAATTTGAAATACAAAAAAAAGCCCTGTGGGTGTGAAATTCTCGTATTAGAGTAAGGACATACGCTGCTTAATGAATAGCAGCTTGTCCATAGATTTAATAGAGGAACTGGATTATTATTCAGTAAGGAGATCAAAGCCTTATTTTCTTAGGAGAATCCAGCCCTATGTATCACTTTCGCCTTATATAAGACACAATTCTAACACCATAAAACAAAAAAACAAAAAGAGTTACCTACACACTATCCCAAATCCCTGTACAAATTTAAATACATTTAAATAAGAGTTTTTTTAGGATCACTCCAGTGGCCAAGTGCAAGCTCACCTGCCATGTTGTATCTTAATAACCCCCTGCACGCCTATTAACCCTTAACAGGCCACACATGTGGTGGGCGGCAGCACTGTAACCTGGTTGTGTAATAAAAAAGAAAAAATACAAACACACAAAATTAAGCCCTGCACTCAAACTCCCACTACTCCTGGGCAGCAGCAATGACTATAATACACATCAGCCCCAATACATGGACTCTTTGGATGTGTATTATAATTATTGATAATAATAGAGGAGGGAGTCAGACCCATCAGCTGACCCCAAGGAAGTCACTCTCCTGCACCTAAAAGGTAGGAAACAGAAGGGTGACTAAACCATTTTGCATCTGTGTGTGTTTGTGTATGTGTGTCTTAATGTATGTATGTGTGTCTGTATTCATGTTTGTGTGTCTGTATGGATGTGTCTGTCTGTATGTATGTATGTTTGTCTGTTTATCTGCATGTCACCCCACCCCACACACATTCACCCTGGCACAGTCCCAATAACTACCCCAATCCTGTCACTAATCCATTCTCAAATCATATCACTCTGCCATATTCACCCTATTCCACTCACCTTCTGTAGCACTGTCACGCTCCCCCTTTCCCCCCAATCCTGTAACACTCATTCTCCATCACTCTGTCACACTCACCCCCTTTCACCCTATCACATGAACCCCTCCAGTTCTTTCATACTCATCCCCCCAACCATGCCACACTCACCCTGTGGGGTGTGAATGAAATACATGGAGGGGCTGGGGGGCGTGAAAGAAACACACGGAGGGGGCTGGGGTGTGGGGAAGATGTATGGGGGGGGGGGGGCAATTGTCGCACCACGGTCCTGTGGTGTGTGGTTACGTCTCTGTTTGTCACTTTATATTTCTAACACTATAATGATTTCTTTTCACACTCAGTTGAGCGTTAAGGTTGTTATAAGTTCACAGAATAAAGGGAAAGTTTAAGGATTCCTAGATATTTTTAGCACGCAGGGCAGGGGTTGCAGTAAGTAAGAACTCTGAACATTTGTTTGAATGTGTTCTTTGTTTCCTTAAACCACACTAAAGAAACCTTTCAACAACCACAATCGTTCTCTAAGATCCCCCCTTCTACCACTCAATAACCAAATATCTTGTATCTAATAATAAAACAGTTAAACACTAGCTCTTCGTCAGTCTCGCCAAAAAGCAAAAGGAATAAGACTTTCGAGAGCTGATTACGTTTCTCTGTAAGAAAGACAGAAGAGTCATAACTTGACAACAGTAGTTTTATTATAGGTGAAGCAGTGGACTGCTCATGCATTAAGGTGGACAGAGTTAACAAAGACATATTGAGCACCTTTAGAAGTTTTAGATCACGAAGTCAGTTTTTTTTGCATTTAGCAGTCCTCTCGTATTAGGTTAGCAGTAGTGATGTCCCAAACTGTTCGCCGAACAGTTCGCGAACTGTTCGCCACGGTTCGCCACAAACGGTTCGCGCGGACTCCAGTCAGCTGACACATTCCAGCCAATCAGCAGCAGACCCTCTCTCCCAGACCCTCCCACCTCCTGGACAGCATCCATTTTGAAGCTGCATTCTTAGTGAGGTGGGAGGGTCTGGGAGGGAGGGTCTGCTGCTGAGTAGCTGACACGTCAAAAGGCCCTCAGAGCAAGGCTGTCGTAAAATGTAAGGGCCACTCTCAAGCCGAATATTCAGAATTATTATAGAGCACGATACTTCGTAATAGCCACAGAGGACTTGATCTGGAAAGCTAAGCGTTATCCCAGGTGTCTTTACACAAATAAAGGACATCCATCGAGAATAGCAATTTGACTGCTCTTATAACAATATTGTTACTGAATGATAGAAATATCACAGGTATAAATACCAATCACTAATCACAACCTAAACCTGCTTGTACATAACACTACCTAATGATAGACCGAGGGATGATAAACCGAATAGCTTTCATTCAATTACGAAAAGCTGAATATACGTTGTCTGAAAGCCATTGATGTCAACCACCATTAGAAGTTTTAGAAAGATGACGAGATAAAGGGTCGCCACTTACAACATCGCTGCAAATAAAGCATTAAAATGTCATGCGATTTCTATTATATTTTGGCTTCCATTTCCTTGTTATTCACGTAGTAACGGACTTACCTAAACCAAAGGAAAGTACAAGTGATCAACCATTTACATATACCCGAGCTGGCTGTTGGTCCAAACATGGGGAAATAGAATTACCACCAGCTCAACGTTCACAGCTGCTTCGATCATTAAAAAACTATCCGCAAATTAACTTCAATTGTGGACTTTGAAATTGGACTCTAAGTGCTGAATTCTCTCTTAGATTAAGAGTTTGCTGGTCTTATGTATAGCAATTTTCCCATTTTCATGATACTGTGAATTTCTGTATGCTGCCCTGCTACACGGTTTTGTGGTAGTTTAACGGAACACTCAATGCACCATAACCACTACAGCATTGGTTAAGGTGCAAAAAGTGCCATGGTGCCCCCTCCCATAGTAAGGGGCCAAATCTATTTAGAACTATGCGACTTCTTACTTATGTTCTGCCAGGCACTGCTCCCTGTCTCCACTACTAATGATTGAGAGGCGAAAGTCCCTAAACAGTAACCTCTGGAGAATTCATTGAAAAATGCCGCTTCCATCTCAAAAACATAGCTCACACCTGCCCCTATTTAACACCAGATGCAGCTAAGGTGCTGGTCCATGCGGTTGTTCTTTCTTGCCTTGACTACTGCAATCCCCTTCTCAGTGGTCTTGCGTGTTTCCAGATTGCACCGCTGCAATCTATAATGAGTGCGGCGGCGAGGCTCATTTTCCTGTCTGCCTGCACCTCCCACACCTCCCCCGTCTGCTCAGTTTAAAGGATCACTAAAGGGTCAGGAACACAAACATTCCTAGTGTTAAAACCACCATCTAGCCCCCCTGGGCCCCTCATGCCTCCATAACTATAGCAAAACCTTAATGTATTCAAGCCAGGAGCTGTAGATCTGCATGCTGTTTGCCTAAAAAAAACAAGCAGTCTGCTGACATCGTCAGAAGTGGTAGCCTGATCCAATCACAGTGCTTCCCCATAGGATTGGCTAAGACTGACAAAGAGGCAGATCAGGGGCAGAGCCAGCATGATTCAAACACAGCCCTGGCCAATCAGCATCTCCTCATAGAGATTAATTGAATCAATGAATATCTATGAGGAAAGTTCAGTGTCTGCATGCAGAGGGAGGAGACACTAAATGTTTGGATGCATTTTAGGCAGCCATGACCCAGGAAGGATCTCTAACAGCCATCTGAGGAGTGGCCAGTGAAGTTATCACTAGGCTGTAATGTAAAGACTGCATTCTCTCTGAAAAGACAGTGTTTACAGCAAAAAGCCTGAATGTAATGATTCTACTCACCAGAACAAATTCAATAAGCTGTAGTTGTTCTGGTGACTATAGTGTCCCTTTAAGATTCTGGTGCTTGCTTACAAGTCCTTACATAATGCTGCTCCAACCTACCTATCCTCCCTAATACACAAATATGTCCCGTCGAGGCCCCTGCATTTTGTCGAAGACCAACGTCTATCCTCTGCCCGTACTCCCACATCTGATGCTCGCCTCCAAAACTTCTCCAGGGCTGCACCTTTTCTGTGGAACTCCCTTCCCTTCTCCGTTAGACTTTCACCCAGTCTCCACTCCTTCATAAAAATCTTTTCTTCAGGAAAGCATATAATTTAAACTGTTAGCGGGTTTTCATTCTCCCTCAGTGACTCCTCTCCTGCAACTGTCAATAATAACCTAAGTTCTCAGTGAATACTTTTTCTAGCAACCTATTTCATTACCGCTATTTATACCTTTTGTGTCACGATACCCCATTCCCTCTAGCATGTAAGCTCATTGAGCAGGGCCCTCAACCCCTCTGCTCCTGTGCGTCCATTTGTCTTTTAAATCTTTTAAATTAGGACTTTACATTAAGTTAGGACAACATTTCCGCCAAAATGGCAATATTTTCCAAAATTATTAAGAACCAATTCTGCAAGATCCCCGGCCAACTCGCTGTTTAGTGGAGAAACCCCTAAAGAATCATCCGGCTGTACACGCGTTTTCCAATACTTACATAACCTTTGATTTTATTGTTCATGAATGAACTTTGCGGTTTGATTTATAATGTATCATTATTCAGTTCAACTCCATTAGAGGGCAACGTGTATTCTTACTAATATAGATAAATGGATTATTATCTCATAACATAACTGATTAAAGACATCTTTGTTTTATTACTGTAAGTGATGGTTATATATTAATTTAAATGAACACTTTTTTGTACACTGGTATATATTTATTTTTTTACTGTATTAACCCAACAAAGAAGACTTCAAATGTATCGCTAAAAAATACCAAAGGATTTTTTGCTCTGCTTGTAATAAATGTGTGCCTCCTGCATAATCTATTTTTTTTTAAATAAAATATATTTTTTTTAATATAAATTAAGTTATCCAAAATGTATGGACTATAAATGGGCCAGTACAGCTTTGAAACTTGGCAAAATTCTGGAAGCTCAGAGATTTCCCTAGGTCTCAAGAGCAGAACCCCTTTTTGTATAAATGGGGGAATCTTGTCCCATCTGATTTGATGTCAAGTTTCACCACTTGCAAATATTTATATAGTGCCAACATATACCGCAGCACTGAATAATATGAAAGAAGACAAATTTAAATGAAGAGGACCCTCTACAAACAAGCTTACAACCTATGTTTAGGAAATAAAGAAAATCTATTGATGTAATCTTAGAAGAGGACAAGGTGACATAAGTTGACGAATGTGAGTAAAGTGAGTCTTTAAAGGTCACTAAATGCTGAATTAGCAGGAAGTAAAAGTGACCTCAAAGTGAATTTTACATTTTATGGCAAAGATTTGTGAACCAAAAACATAAAAGACTTACAGAATCTTTTCCGTTTGGATATTTTGTGAAAATATTAAGTCATTAAAGTGAAAATTTAAAGTGAATATTACATTTAAAATAGGAAAATGCCAAAAAGCCTAAAAACTAATAATAAAAATTCTCTAGGTCAGCTATGCTTCCAGTGCCACTATTTTGAACTTAAATTTGACATTTACTTTGAATTCACTTTGAATTTATAACTAAAATAACTTTGACAATGAATTCCTGACCATTCACACTTTAGCAAATAATCTTGTAAGTGAACAAGCTCAAGTTATTTAATTATTCATTAATGTGTGCATTGTCAAGAATGAAAATTAATTTCTAAGAGCATTTAAAATTTAAGTCTAAAATTGCAGAACTCATACTTTAGTGAATAAAAGCGATTATTTCAACCTGAGAATTTTTTTTAAAAGAATTTAGGTGAAAATTTACCACTTAGAAAATAAGGAAAATTTCATTCCGTATTTATCGTCATTTTCTTTTCCTGGCTAGTATTCATTGCAACATCACTTATGGTCAGCTCCCTCCTCAGAACCAGATAGGCAGGAAAAAGAAACCTAATTAAGAGACGGCATGTATAAAAGGTCCGTCCTCCTATACAGCAATTATTGGAAAAGCAAGAGAAATATTGGGAGGGAGACTGGTGCTACCATTAATAATACCCATTAATAATATCTAGGCTCCTACGCTATGCCAAAAACCTATGTCTATCTTCTCTTTGTACTCAAACCTCCAACAACGACCTTCAAAACTTCTCTTGGGCTGCACTGACCCTGTGGAGCTCCTTCCCTGTTCCATTAGATTCTCAATCAGTCTATGTTCCTTCAAAAAAATCATGGAAAACTCACTTATTTAGGAAAGCATATCAATTAAACTGTTAATAGCTATCCCTTCTGGCACCTTGGTAACTCACTTTGCTTTCTCTACTGCAAATGTGTCATCCAATAAACTAGCCGTTAACTGTAAACTATTCTAACAAACTACTTTTTCCCTTACATGAAATACATCCTACCCTTACCTCTTGTGCCACTCTACCAAATGACTGCCAGAATGTAAGCTTGTTTGAGCAGGGCCCGCAACACACTCTGTTCCTGTGAGTCCAAATATTCGTCAGAGTACAGAATATTTGATAGAGTCCTAAACTCAACATCTGAGGAGAGGGATTTAGGGGTGATTATTTCTGATGACTTAAAGGTAGGTAGACAATGTAATAGAGCAGCAGGAAATGCTAGCAGAATGCTTGGTTGTATAGGGAGAGGCATTAGCAGTAGAAAGAGGGAAGTGCTCATGCCATTGTACAGAACACTGGTGAGACCTCACTTGGAGTATTGTACACAGTACTGGAGACCGTATCTTCAGAAGGATATTGATACCTTAGAGAGGGTTCAGAGAAGGGCTACTAAACTGGTTCATGGATTGCGGGATAAAACTTACCAGGAAAGGTTAAAGGATCTTAACATGTATAGCTTGGAGGAAAGACGAGACAGGGGGGATATGATAGAAACATTTAAATATATAAAGGGAATCAACACAGTAAAGGAGGAGACTATATATAAAAGAAGAAAAACTACCACAATAAGAGGACGTAGTCTTAAATTAGAGGGACAAAGGTTTAATATCAGGAAGTCTTACTTTACTGAGAGGGTAATGCATGCATGGAATATCCTTCCAGCTGAAGTGGTAGAGGTTAACACAGTAAAGGAGTTTAAGCATGCGTGGGATAGGCATAAGGCAATCCTAACTATAAGATAAGGCTAGGGACTAATGAAAGTATTTAGAAAATTGGGCAGACTAGATGGGCCGAATGGTTCTTATCTGCCGTCACATTCTATGTTTCTATGTTTCTTAGTCCACCCATTGTACAGCGCTGCCGAATTTATTGGTGTCTTAGAAATAGTAATATTAATAAAACTTTAACAACAGGGAAGCATTCAAAGATGTTTCAAATTCCTGCCTTTGTACTGGCTGATATGCAGAGTACAACCCACTATGGCCTACCCACGTGCCAAACACATTTAAGGGGTCAGTCAAATTTGTACATTTACATTTTCATGAATCTATGCTTTCACAAATACTATCTGGTTAAATGGGCAGTCAAAACATCTTTACCAGTACAACTTCTCGCAGTGGGTATGGTGCAGGGAGCCTAAGGTTGCCCTCCGCCCTACCTCCCCCCGTTTATGTCAAAAAGCTCTTCATTCGCCACTTGGATAAAATAGAAGTTTAACTTTCCCAGTATCCATCCAATGCCGATTAGCCTTACAAGGTAACGATCTTTGTGGTTAAATGTTGGATGTCTTTTTTAAGAACACAGAGAATGAAAACTCCTGTATTATTTGTGGACAGGACTTTGGGTGTTGGGTGAGTTCTGGTTCACATCAAACCCAAAAAGCGGCAGATGGAAAATGGGGGAACAGCACTCAATGTCTTCTTGCACTGTAACAACTACAAACAAATTGAGTGGCTATGGTGCTTAGAGTGTGTCTTTTTTTACATCCAAATATTTAGGAGATTTTATTTTGCACAAAACTATCTATTCACATCTATTATTTGGATAACATAAAAAACAGACAAACATAAATTAAATATTAAACATAAATTAAATATGACATTTTAGTTAATATACAATTTTTAAGATTTATCTCTATCCATTTCAACATTTTATGACTAATATGATTTTATTTCTACTAATACAATACAAAGAGATCTCCTGTTAGTATTCTAATGATAATGTCATTTGAAAATTGCAGAATAATTGCATTTAATAGGGAGCGCAGAAAAAAAAACATTTTAGAGGTCAAGTCTTTGAAACTCATTACAGACTCATTATATTTATCCTGGAACGATTCAGCATGAAATTGTTAATCTCTGTCTGTAAGTTAGGTTTAAAAATCCCTCATTTTTCTTCAATCGGGTAATCGGGTTAGTAGAAATAGACATCGGCACGGTTACTGCATTAAAAATTGGGAGAAATAGCATATTTAATATTTTCATTGTAATAATGTTACAAACTGCGTTCTTGTTGTGAAAAATATTCTATTTCTAAATTATTTTAGATAAGCTGACGGAAATTGAATGCACTTTTTTTTTTAAAAAATTGTGTTAATTTAAAAAAATAAAAAAATATGAAAGACACTCGTACTATACTTTAAAAACAAATACATAACACATGCCAAAAAAAACCTGTAGTTGCCAAATCCAGAGGATCGAGTTTCCAGACTGGATCAGGAAAATTTCCACTGATCCCCACTATAATAATGAACTATTATAGTTATATGTATAAAAAATAACTATTTATTGTAAAAAGCAAAAAAATATAGGAACAATATGAAGTGTCCTAAGGTGACAGGCGAAACGCATCAACTATCTATAACTATTTTGTTTCCTGTTTGCTACCTGGCATCACCATATCCCAAGGTGGGTATTGTACCACCCATGCTGTGAAAACTAGAGCAGGTCTTGCTCTTAAAAATGTAAGTACATTACTTCTTTTAATTCCAGTTTACAGTACTTACGACACTATCAGAGTTTTTTCTGCTCTTCTACTTCCATATTCACCATCAATATCTGCATTCGCATTTAGAGGACCAGCAACACTTATACCACCCTATATGCTTAGACAGGGATCATACTGTCCATGCGCAATACAGCAGAGCTCTAATATAGCTCTACCAAATGTGAGTGGTTCTTATATTAGTCACCAAATCCACTATTTTGCACTTTATCAGATTGTACTGTACCATTATCCTGTATTATCCTGAGGTTTACTACACCATACTCTCTGAAGTTTTATGTACGTATGATTTTGGGCGCAGTATACGCCATATCCTTTTTCTGTTTCACTATTACACGAGGTCTTGGGAATCCTTGTATTGTATACAGCAGCCCCAACATATCTATTGTACTATAGCGAGCGCCTATTACCCATGTTTTTATTATAAGAAAACTGATTTCATATAATATTTAAAATAAAATTCTGCATAGGATGAACAAAAACAATATCCAAACAATGTACTTATGTAATCTTACATACCTGTACAGATTTCCCAATATATTCTTATATATCCCATACAGCAATATAGACGGAATTGTTTGTTTTGTGCTAACATAGGCATCAATGTAATATTTTTGGATAATCTTTTCAAATAATTCGCAACCTGAACAAACTTTTCAAATACATTGTCTTCAGAAGTCACCATAAAACTGTGTTGGAATTATTAGATAAATCAGTTGAAAATAAAATAAAATCCGAAAATATGTAATAGAAGTCTTATTGTGCTAGCTATGCAAATTATGTTTGAAAATGTATGATTTTTATATGATTGGTTAATGATGGAGTTAATGATATCAGCCAGCTGAAGTGTTGGGGAGAGGGGGGGATACATACAAGTAGACAAAGGGTTTTGGCTGTATGCGTGGGGGGACAACAAGCTCAGTGTTCAAAGAGTTACTATGACCACTTTTGGTTTTGGAAATGGACAAGATGCAAACAGTCTCAATTTGCAGTGTTTTAGCTTGAAAGGGGTCTGTGATTTAACAAGTGCAACTTCACCTCCAGCACACATGACTTGATGGGAAAAAAAGATGATATAAGATGAGATATATATATGTATATATACACAACATACAAGATGCAACACTAGCACCCAATTACCAAACAGCAACCTCAAAGCTTACAGAAAACAACAGCTTTTATTAAAAACACCCAGGATAGGCAAAAATAATGGGGATTTAGTTTCAGTATTTATACACTGCATAAGCCTGCCACAATGCAAATGTACCCCGTTTTTGGCAATCCTAGCAACCTAATACATACTATATACAGGTATAGCATTTAGTATACAGTTGTAATCAAAATTATTCAACCGCCATAAAATGAGTTTTATTGTCAAAATTTACAGACTTTCAGCTTTTTGCAATGACTGGAGAAGTCATTAAAAGTAGCATTTTTCTGTTGAATTTGGGGAAACCACTTTGTAACGCAACTCGTTATGTTGAGCTATTTCGATTTCTTTTGTTTGATTTGTTTATTGCAAACAGCTGTATACATTATATATTTATTTATTTTTACTGCTCACCCTGGTTTTTTCTTCTTATTATTTTTTTTATACTGCTTTACCCTCTGTTGGTTACTTTTTCTCTGACCCGTAGACCAAATGGTGGGAAAATGCTAGTATCACGTATTATATAATATGTATACATTTTGCAGCACGCTGATTGGCCAATTTTTTTAACCTTCTTTGTTCTTCTGATTCGGTTTCCAAATTAAAATATCGGTACCAAAATTCTGCTGAGCCAAACCAACATATGGTTGAAGTTCGTGCGTCACGAAAAAATGTTTTACATTCGGGAAAGTGGTTCGGCTGTGCTAGATTTTCTCGCCCTGCCAAGTCTACTTATTTTCCTTGTTTTCTGTAAAAATATACATACTTTTTTAGATAACAATTACTGCAAACTAAAATGAAAAGCAATCAGCTCATGGATCTACAAAATAACATGCTTTCAGGCATTTCATTTACACTGTGTGTGTACAGTTTGACTTGCTAGTTGGGTTATTGTTTGAAACTCAACAGGGAATTTTATATTTTAGTCTAAAATAGCTTATTTTGTAAAAAAAGAATTCACTGGTACAGTTACTTTTCAAGCTCATTTGTATCGAGAAAGAGCAGGTCACTATTGCCCCCTGTTTGCCACTAGGCTTTATAAACATTTAACTGTCCAGGATAATAAAAATGACACCTAGTCCGACTCACCACATGTTGGCCACATTTAATAATTCACGGTATTGCTAGAATCACTATTTTAAATTCTGGTAATTTGTCTGGAAGAGCGCTTCATCCCAACATCAATTATTCATCATGGAGTGTCTTCTTCTGTTCATAAATTAGTTATCGATTTATTTATAGGATTCCATTTTGAGGTTCTCTTTTTTGTGGTGGTGCTACGGCTACGATCCCTCCAAGAGATCTCGAAAGGCCTAGGTTTCTGAAAGTGTCCTCTGTCTGGATGTGTGGGGAACCGACAACAAGGAAATAGCCAAAACATAACTAAATAAAAAATAACCTGTCACTATGATAATTTGTTGACGCTCTTCCAGATGCATTCACGCATCTAGGTGCCTGTGGCTTCCCTTAAGGAACTTGTCACAGTGAAATAGGTGAACCTTTTAGCGTCTTTGCATTCGACCTTTAAATTTCAGTCTAAATACCGGTATATCAAACAAGTCTAAAATATGGTTTCCTTTTCACAGACTGATCTGAGGTTGCAGTTGTGTCAGGAAGTTTTTAGACGTTATGTGTTTCCCCCTTACACTCCAATACAGACAGGCTGTTACAATTTTAGAAACATGGGTCATAAATCAGGAAAGAAGAAACACCTCGGAAGGGTCCTACAAAAAGCTGAGCAACTTGTCCTGTCAGTCAGACTTTTATACCTCCATACACGCCTTCGCCAAGGTCCCAAATCTGGTACGAACTTGAATACGCACAGCCGTCTTGCTTCCCATACCAGCAACATTTGATACACAGATGGATTGAGTAAGGGAGAATAATACATCCTCCATGCTATAGCTAGCTAGTTTGTCATAGAGAGGGTACGGTTAAACCAAGAGGGCCAGTGAGAGTGCGTGGCCAGCTCGGCCAGCTGAAAGTGTTAAGGCGCTCAACTAAGGGGGGTGACTTAGTGGCACGGTAGTGTCATGGAGTTATCCAAATAAAATAAAAGGCAACAGGCCTAAAGAAAACAGAAATACAGGCATGTGTAGCAGGCAATATTTGCAGGTGTCGCTGTAGCCCCTTGTTTTTTCATATATATATATATATATATATATATATATATATATAATGTCTAGCCAGCTCCCTGGTTCTGCACCCCTCCCTGTCACAGGTGCCTCATCCCAGGATCCTATTTGGCCTTGTACTGCAGAGAACTCGAGAGGATTTTCCCAAGTGATTAGCTCATTTAGCAGACATTAGGCAGTTAGAGTAGGACCTGCCGAATATGGGGTACATTGACGTTGTGGCAGGCTTATGCAACGTATGATCATATAATGTAACTAAATCCCCATAACTTTTTTCCTAGATTAGGTGTTTTTAACAAAACTAGCAAAATCTGTCAGCACCAAAGTAGCTGTTTAGTAGATAGGGAGTGCGCTGGTTTCTCATTGTTTGCTGCAGTGCAGCTTGTCAGAGTCCCCCTGGATACGCCTGGCGTTCAACCGACTCCCTTGTGTGGTCTTCCCTGCAGATAGTTAGATAGTCCATGCCATGGTTGATGGGGCACATCTGCTCTCGTTTCGCCTTTCCAGTTCCCAAGTTTGCATCACCTGTTGCCTGGGTGTGGGTCCGCGAGGTCTCCGGGCCTTGCGTCTTCGGCCCATGGCCTTTGCGGGATCCCTTTGCTGAAGTCCATTGATCCCTTCATTAGGATCTTGGGCCCATGGGTCTGAGCATATATATTTTATATATCACAATACCTTGTAATAACAATAATAAAAATTTTAAAAAATTATTATTTTATTTTTTTTGGGGCTGTGCGTATTGCTTATTTGTTCCTCAACCATTCTTAAACTTGTCTTGCATTATTCTATAGTGACTGTGAATAGACTAAATGCGTGTTGGAGCACTGTGCAATACAATGTAATAATGTAACTACACTTCCTTAGTGTTAATGTTTCTAATGAGATTCTGTCTATTGCAGCATTCAGTCTGAAGTGTTTACAATGTGTTGGTACCGCTGCCTCGTGCCGCATGTCGGTGAAGACCTGCCCTTCTTATGAGACTTCCTGCTTTGCTCTGGCCTACAAAGGGGTTCAAGGTGAGGATTTGAACTCCACTAACAGAGCAATAAACACAAACAGCTCAGTTCACACCAACAGGTTATTCACCAAAGTGTGAATTCTCAGAATTTCAAAGTTAATTTTATCATTTTAGGGCACAATAACCAAACTGAGTTATGTTTTCAGTGTGGGATCTGTCCTGCCCTGCCTTGCCTGTCAGGATTGCAAACATAAACATGTAGTAAATCTATACGTTAACAAGGTAGCCGTCTATAGAAATTCTATTTTAAAAAAATGAAAGCAATTAGCTTAAGCCGCATATAGTGTTAGATTATAGATAATGTGAAATTTCTCTGTCTGCATGTATAACCCAAGAACACTCTATCCAGGAGGATTATGTAATTATCAAGAATTGTATTTCAACATGTAAAGATGATATCCAGTCCCTTAGTGAACTCATTTATATAATAATATAATGGTACAGTATCTCTTGTATCACTTTATTGTGGAGTTATATTAATTACTTAGATTCTCAATGTACACTGTATAATCCTTGCTAGAGATACCACCTAAGATGTATCTCATTTTACTCCTATAAAGCAGATATCATTTATAGTCCCATTGTAGCAGAATAGATGCCCAAAATACACTTTTATTCCTGATTGTTCGGTTGTCCGTAAACCCCCCGTTCGTTTACTGAACCAACTCTGTGTGGCCCACCACCCCTGGCTGTTAACCACAAATGAGCAATTAGTTTAAGTGCTTTCCCTGTGTAGCAGCCGTTCGTATAACCAAATCCACGTAATCCAAGAATTGGCGGACATTTTGTCTCCCGAACGCAGGTAGCGGTACATAGTCATCGACTGCATGGAACTGTAAATAGGTTGCGCGACCCCGCGAACACCTGGGAAACTTGTACCGCTGCCCGTCCTGAACAGTTAGTAGAACAGCATTTGGGAGGCATGAACTACCAAACAGGAGGAGTATTCGCTCCCTAACAGCCAGGGGGAGCATTTGTCGATGTTCGTGTGAGAACACCCAAAAGATGACCGGACGTTGCCTTGTTTTTTTGTGGAACTATTTTGGGGCATCACCTCGTGGCCGACCAGTCAAAACTTCGAATGGCGTTTCTTAACCACCAAAGGCATCTGAGCGCTACTTCGACAGAGTGGGCGTTCAGACCCCAGCTATTCGGTGAAATAACTATTGTGGGGTTCTTATGTTGTTATAATGTATTTTTAGGGTGATTTATGATATTTTTCTGTAACTGAGTGATAATTGAGTCTGAGTTTTCTCGTTCAATTATCTCTCAGAAACAGAGACTCCAGGGAGGATAACACTTTTATTTTTAATGTGGAAACCCATGCTAGAGGTCAGTGCATAAAAGCCGTGTGTGTCTAAAATAAAATCAGTTGACTCCCAGAACTATATGTCATCTAGTTGCTGTGGGGAACGGGTCTTGGATAATTACAGTGCTTCTTTCAGCTTTGAGGAAGGAATAGCAGAGATACCTAGTCATGGTGTCGGAGCTCCGCTACATCCCTTAGACAATATAAATCTCGCCTAATATAGCTAAGCCAGTATAGAGTCATATTATTCAGTAATTCTGTTATACAGTCATTACAAGTTATTCTGTGGGTCACAGCATGTCGATTGAGGGTGGCATCAGATAAACACCACCGATTCCATGTATCCCATCCAACCCCATGTTGGCCAATATCTACTTAAGGTCTCTTTAATTTGCTGATAGTCAATGTTAAATTTAGCCACAAATACTGATCCCTTACTGGTCTGTTTCATATCCTTACCTGATATTTTTAGTTGGGTGTTATTTTTTTTTTTAGTTTCTACTTTTCCCTTCTTATACTTTTAGCAAAAATGGGCAATTAGTCATTGCTATTCAACATCACAAATCCCCCCTTTTCTGCGGATTTTATAATTAGATTGGGGTGTTTTAATTTCTTCAACGCCATCCGTTCATCCATCATATTACTCATTCTCTCGCTGTTAGATTATCCATTATTCCAAAATCTAAAAGAACACTCTCATGAAAACATAATTACATAATTCAGCCTATCTCTCACTGAATAATATGTAGAGGGTGGTTTAAAGTGGGATATAATATTGTCATCCACGATTTGTATTGGATCTAGAGGTTTGTTTGTTTCCTCAATATAATCATTATCATCCAATAAGGATATAAAGTTAGAGATCATTGGTTTATCTATGGAGTTATCAAGATGTTTATCCTCCTCCCTAATTTTCATAGAATTGGAAGTGGCAGAGTGACTGAGGGGGTGACAGTGTGGGTGGCACAGTGACTGATGGGGGAAGGGGGTGGCAGAGTGAGGGAGGGATTGACAGGTGGTAGAGTGACTAAGGAAGGGAGGGGGTGACACAGTAAAGTAGGGGGTGGCAGGTGGAAGTGTGACTGAGGGAGGGGTGACACAGTAAGGGACGGGTGGCAGTTGGCAGAGTGACTGAGGGAGGGGTGACACAGTAAGGGACAGGTGGCAGGTGGCAGAGTGACTGAGGGAGGGAGGGAGTGACACAGTGGGGTGGGGGTGACACAGTGAGGGAGTGGGTGACAGGTGGCAGAGTGACTGAGGGAGGGGGTAATAGTGAGGGAGGAGATTGTAATTTTAAAAATACCTTCATTTTTTCCCCCTGGTGGTCCAGTGTCTTTGATCCCTGGTGGTCCAGTGGGCTGTCTCTCCAATCTGCCCGGCAAAATCTGCAAAATGCCGCCCCTTTCAGAGTGCCGCCTGAAGCCATGGCTCCACTGCGGGCTATGGACGGGCCGGCCCTGACTTTATTGTCCCTTTAACATAAGGAAGGAGAACAAGTTGTTATGGTGCTAGGAGTGCTCTTATATTAATGTAACATAGATCGCAGATTGCTGCAAATGTGGTAGATGATATGATAAATCATCCGGAAAAGCATTATGAAAGTTGTTGCCCATCACTTGTTTAAAACATTGATCAGTGTTTAATGCTGTTACCGTACAGACCTTATGGATGGTTTTGAGATCATTGAGCTGGTTTTACAAGATGAGGATTGCACATCTTAAGCCTCGAGATAACATCTACCTTTGAAATCTTCACAAAAAAGGGCCAGCCCACCACGGAATCCACAGAATTTCTTCAAAAATCTCACACACAAAAACTCACAGTTTTATAATGTCATCACCTATTGCACAATATGACCACATTTCCAGTCTCTGGATCACGAATCTGACTACTGTAGACAGGCTGTTTAAGAACAGTTTGCCAACTTACCTGGGATCTGCCAGGATAGGGGCTGTAGTAGGGGATAGGGGCAGTAGTGTGTCTGAGGGGTGCAATATGTGTGTGTGTATGTGTGGTGGAGTGAGTGTATGTGTGTGTATGTGTGAGAGGGGTGAAGTGTGCGTATGTGTGTGTGTGGGGTGCAGTGAGTGTATGGGGTGCATTGTGTTTGTAAAGGATGATGTGTGTGTGTGAAGGATGCAGTATGTGTGTGTGAGGGGTGCAGTGTGTGTGTACATGGGTCAGTTTGTGTGTGAGGGGTACAATGTGTGTGGGGCCAGGTTGCATGAGTGGTACAGTGTGTGTGTGTGAGGGGTACAGTGTGTGGAGGGGGCAGGTTGTATGAGTGGTACAGTGTGTGTGGGGGGGGCAGGTTGTGTGAGGGGTACAGTATGTGTGTGGGGGCAGTGTGTGAGGGGTACAGTTTGTGTGTATGGGGCTGTGTGTGTTTGGGGCAGTTTGTGTGTATAGGGGCAGTGTGTGTGTATGGGACAGTGTCTGTGTATGGAGGGCAGTGTGTGTGTATGGAGGGGCAGTGTGTGTGTGTGTATGGAGGGGCAGTGTGTGGGGGGAGGGGCAGTGTGTGTATGGTGAGGGGCATTGTGTGTGTGTATGGAGGGGTAGTGTGTGTGGGGGGCAGTGTGTATAGGGGCAGTGTGTGTGTGTATGGTGTGTGTATGGAAGCAGTTTGTGTGTGTATGAAAGGGCTGTGTGTGTGTGTGTGTGTGTGTGTGTGTGTGTGTGTGTGTGTATGGAGTGTGTGTTTGGAGGGGCAGCGTGTGTGTGTGGGGCAGTGTGTTTGTATGGGGGGCAGTGTGTGTTTTGGGGGGCATTGTGTGTGTATGGGGGCAGTGCGTGTGTATGAGGGGCATTGTGTGTGTATGGCTGGGCAGTGTGTGTGTAATGGGGGGTAATGTGTGTGTATGGGGGGGAGTGTGTGTGTATGAGGGGCATTGTGTGTGTATGGGGAGCAGTGTGTGTGTGTATGAGGGGCATTGTGTGTGTATGGGAGGCAGTGTGTGTGTGTATGAGGGGCATTGTGTGTGTATGGGGGTCATTGTGTGTGTATGGGGGGCATTGTGTGTGTATGAGGGGCATTGTGTGTGTATGGGTGGGCAGTGTGTGTGTGTGGGGGGGCAGTGTGTGTGTATGGAGGGGCAGTGTGTGTGTAGGGCATTGTGTGTGTATGGGTGGGCAGTGTGTGTGGGGCAGTGTGTGTGTATGGGGCAGTGTGTGTGTATGGGAGGGCAGTGTGTGAGTATGGGTGGGCATTGTGTGTGTATGGGGGGCAGTGTGTGTGTATGGGGGGGCAGTGTGTGTGTATGGGGGCAGTGTGTATGTATGGGGATAATGCGTGTGTGTATGGGGGCAGTGTGTGTGTATGGGTGGGTAATTGTGTGTATAGGGGGAGTTATTGGGAGTCTGTGGGGGTAGGAGAGCAGATAAATATACACATGTATTTATTTATTTATTTTAATTAATAAAAGGTTTTTTAATTTTAATAAAAAAAATTATTATTATTTTAATATCCCCCCTCCCTGCTTACCTATACCTATTTCCTGCTGTCCATGGTGGTCCCAGTGGTGAGAGTGAGCGCCTCAGGAGCTGCTAGAGTTCACTCTCGCAAGATTTAAAACGTTGCTGTGGTAACCATGGCAACGCTCAGAGTTCGCGAGAGGAGAACCCGGCGGAGCTGCATGTTAGAGCTCCCCCAGGTCCTGCCTCCCTCCCTTCCCTGCCAGCTGCCAGCATTACACTGCGAGTAGGCTGGAGAGGGAGATCTCTGATCTCCCATCTGGTCCTGCAGAGCCGACAGGGGAGAGGGAGGCACATTTCCCGGTGCTATGATCTATGGGAACTGCTGATTTAAACCATTTCATTTCTGAAGCAGAGGGGAGTTTTTTGGCCTCCATTACTGCTGCGCCAATTACCGCAAACTTAACGATGACGGCAGCCATTTTATGTGGTAAAGTCGTAGGGCTACAGTGAGTCCACAAACTCCGTCACTTGGTCTACATTGAGTATAAGTTCTGTGTGAACCTCTTGCATAATATACTGCTGAAATACACATCACCATCATCCAATAAATCATGATTATTATAACAGTGATAAGTGTTGCATTCAGTTATTGCCTAAATAATCAAATGTTACTAATTATTGGTAACCCATGATAGGAGGTTCGAAAACATGGCTTAAATTCATTGCCAGCATGAAACACCCTTATTTACATGTGAGAATTATTTTACTCCTATGGATTTTTAACTTGGGATAAACAGAATTATTTACTAAAGTAAGAATTACATTGCGTCCATCAAGTTCAGCCTTCCTCATATTTGTTTTTTAGCTGTTGATCCAAGAGAAGGCAAAAAACCCAGTTTGAAGCCCTTCCAATTTTGCAACAAACTAGGGGGGGAAAAATTGTCTGGAATTTAAATTTAATTTCACATTTAAGGCCAAAATATCAAAACTGGAAAAGTTAACCAAGTCGGCAATGCTTCCATTGTGGCTACTTTGGTCTTAAATTTGAAATTCACTCGGAATTCACGTCGATTTCCAAACACTTGTCACTTTAATTTTATATAGGCAAATTATTTTCTCCTGTTAGATTTCAGCTGAGATAACGTTTTTTACTCTCTCTCTCAGCTGTATTATCATAACCGTGTTAAGACTAAACTTTTACCTTACTTGCAAAAACATGGCGAGTTATTCTCACCTGACATACAGCAAAATACACCGGGGCTTTACTTTTGGCGAGAATTGTAATCATGGAGGTATAAATATAAACACAAGCAGAAGTCATTAATAGAGCAGTTTTGGTTTTTAGATCATTCCTCTGCAGCCTCACTACTCAATTATCTGCCATTTAGAAGTTAAATCACTTTGTTTATGCAGCCTTTTGCACACCTCCCTGCATGGGACTTATACAGCTTTCCTAAAGACTTCCTGTAAAGAGTCATCTAATGTTTACACTTCCTTTGCTGCAAATTCTGTTTAATTTAAAATCTCTTATCTCCTGCTATATTAATAATTTAGACCCTACAGGAGCCTATTGTATGTAATTAAAGTTCAAATTACAGAGCAGGGCATAAAAACTTTTAAAGTAAGTTACATCTCATGGAAAATAAAACCATTTTGTTTTCATGCAGGCTGTGTCAGTCACAGCCTGGGGAGGTGTGGCTTGGGCTGCATAAACAGAAGCAAAAGTGGTTTACCTAACGGCAGTGAATTGAGCAGTGAGACCTCAGACGCATGATCTATACACCAAGACTGCTTCATTAAGCTAAAGTTGTTTGGGTGAATATAGTGTCCCTTTAATTAAAAAAACTGTTTCGTATAAATGCCAGCAAGTCAACGAGGTGGACAGGAAAGGACAGCTAATGAGATATACATTTATCTTCCTCATCTTGTTAGGTTCTTCGACTGTTGATACGGTGATTAAAGGCTGTTCCACTCCTCAGATCTGCAATCAAACTTCAATCATTGACGCAGGAGTTCAGTCGGTCACCATGAGTTCATCTTGCTGCGAGAGTAATTTCTGCAATATTAACCGCTACAACAGTATGTATCCTCGTATGATAGTGTCAAACCAAAACATCTCTACCTACCTGTCTCTATGATGAAGGTTTCATAGTACGTCCCACCAATAGTAGTTTGTTTTTTTTAAGCCAAAACATAGAATCGTCCAACATCAAAAGCAGGATTTGGGTATCTATAGGGTATATTCCAGTTGTGTTTTATCAGTTTTTCTTTGTACTTTGAATTGAAATCAGAAATGTATTTTCTCACAGCGCTACCTGTATTTTCTAACCGCCTGGAGTGTCGCACATGTGCGGACCCAACCAAACCGTGCCAAAATGCAGATACCAGTATATTTTGTGACGAAGTCAACAGTTATTGCGTGGATGTGGTCACCAGTAATTACACTAATGGTGAGTATCAAATGTTCTGTGAATATTGTATGGAATTCAGTGTATCCTGTCACTTTAAATGGACAGTAGACTCACAAATATATCTTTGTTTAATGTCAATATCAAAATATTAATGTTACTCTGATGGGTCTACTACATTGCCAAACAGACCTATACAATATTTATTTCAGCATTTACTTAGCGCAAGCTGCAAAAGAAGTCAAATTATCCTTTTTTGTGTCTTTATTTTCAACTGCTGAAAGTGAAGTTGTTTCGTCATTAGGTAGGGGTGCACAAAGGCCCAACTCTAGGACTTGAGAGGTATTTTTTTTTTACATCCCAGAATGATGCTGGATCATACAGCCGATAAGTTTTGCCCCTGGAGAAAAGGTAGAAAACGAGGGAAACTACCAGCGATGCGGGAAATTGAGGGGCTCCACAAGTAGTGGTGGTCTTACATTTTCGATTTTTATAGCGCTTGCACCATACTAACATCTACACTCAGACGACTTGAATGATGAATGAATGCTCCACCATACAGGTTTATGTTGCCATGGCACTGTATCACCATAACTACCTCTCCATAAAATGGTTGTTGTGTTGCCATGGCAACATGTTCCTTCAAGTAGTGACACTAAATCAGTTTCAACTGTCTACCAGTAAACGAGAAGCTCCGTGAAATTAAATATTACACCTACAGGCACATTGACAATTTGAAACTATTTTACTTTTTAACCTTATTAATGAAAAACAAAAATATTTCTCCTGGTTTCAGTGCTACAGCACGTTTTATTTTCTAGATTGGAAATCTAGTAGTTTTGTCAGATTAATGACATATGGATATTTTGGGTGGGAGGATGATTTTTATGATGATGTGGTGGCTATTAAAAAAGTTAAGTTGCCCCGCCCCCCCCCCTCCATATACCCTACCCGTCTCAGTAACCCCCCCTCCCCCCGGACGTACAAGCCACAAGACTGTATAACACTGACAAAGGACGAAATCCTACCAGCCTGAAAATTTAGCGACCCGAGCTTTCGAAAGCAAAATGGAAAATCACCCACAACACTTGGTACACGAAACACTGCTATTCCAATCTCTATAATCTCAATGCTGAAGTATTAAATGTTAATTTACTAAACGAAACGGATTGCACTTGTACCCCACCCCTTTTACTTCATTCTGTACCCCACAATTACAGTCGAAAAAAATTAATTGAAAAATAAAGAATTGATATAAAAAAGTTAAGTTGCCCACCCTTTTACTCTTAGCCATCCAATCCTCTCTGAGCTCAGTCCCCTGGCTCCACCTCATATTGGGATACAAAAACCATTATCTAGTTAACTGTCCAGTCTGAAATTACTAGATCTGAGTGCCTGTATATTAAGTGTGTATTAGGAGGACCATTAAAATAATGTAACAACGCAACAAAGATTCAACTTCAACCAGCTCTGTCATGTTTTATTATTTTGCTAAGATTGTTGTTGTTTAAATGTAGTAACTAATTTATCTTTTGCTGTTTCTATTGTCATCTCTTCCTAATTGCATTACAATAATAAATGACAACCCTTGTTGTATAATTTAAAGGCACACTGTAGTCACCAGAACAACTACAGCTTAAGGTAGTTGTACTGGTGAGCATAGTCGGTCCCTGTAGGCATTTTCATGTAAACACTGCCTTTCATGTAAAAAGGCAGTGTTTACATTACAACCTATAAACATCTCTAGTGGTCACTCCTCGCTTTGCATGGAGACGCTGAACTTTCCTCATTGATTCAATGCATCTAAATGAGGAGATGGTGATTGGCCAGGGCGGCGTTTGTCTCCACCCCATCTCTTTGGCTGAGATAATCAGAATAGGTAAGCAATGTGATTGGCTGAGCTCATAAATTCTGATGATATCTACCAAGGAAACAGATCGGGAGCGGAGCCAGTGCAGGCTGACCTGCGCGGCGCTTGAAATAAGGTAGGTTTTTACTATATTAAGGTGGAGCAAGGGGTGTTAAATAGTGATTTTTAACACTATGGGATCAGGATACACGTTTGTTTTCCTGACCCTATAGTGTTCCTTTAACTGATGGCCAAGGATCGTAAACTGTAAGGTAATGCATAGGGGCTCATTTAAAAATAATAAGGTGCGCTGTGTCTTTAAGACCCAAAAATATATAAAGTGCAACTAAGTGCAAACAAATTGATAAAGTGCAAAGTGATACAAAGTGCACTTAAAGTGTAGAATATCCAAAATCTTTATTGCCCAGCACAGCACCAATATATCACCTTCCTCCACACTTAGTATTCAGTTACAGAGCCTTCGGTAGCATACAGCATAAGGGTGTCGACCTGTCCCTCTGCGGATTCGCCGCCGTAATTGCCGTCTGTTGGCCGTCTGTTTCCTCAAACTTCCAGGGGGAGGAGCTTTCTCGGGTGCGTGACGTCAGGTGCGTAACTTTACGTGATGTTTAGTGGATAGGTGAGTGCGCTGGATCTTGTGTATTGTATTATTTGTGCAGTCCTACATTTGAAGAAGCTGTTAAAGCTAGAGCAGGCTTATTCTGCTCTACTTTTGTGAGTGCAATATTTGGCGTTTATTATCCATACTACCATTTTAATACGGTTTCACACTATTGGTTTTTTTATGTCTCTTTTCCTTTCTATGTATATTTGGAGTTGAGAGGCCATATGTATGTATAATATTTTATACTGATATTCTACACTTTAAGTGCACTTTGTATCACTTTGCACTTTATCAATTTGTTTGCACTTAGTTGCACTTTATATATTTTTGGGTCTTAAAGACACAGCGCACCTTATTATTTTTAAGTATATTCACTAAAGTGTTTGGAGGAGTTTTACACTTGTTTTTGGTGCAGCTCTTTTTTATATTAACAGGTTGTTTTGTTTTATTTTAGACGATTTTATTACGAGCGCCTACTTTTTACTTGTTTTCTGTGTACATAGGGGCTCATTGACTAATTAGGGTCTTGTGGCAAATTAAAATTAAAGTTGCAAAATGTAGACAGAATTAGCAATTTTGCTCCTAAATTTTGTTTTTTAGTTCATGACAATTCCCAGTCAATAAATGAGTATGCTTGGAGAAAGAAAAAGGTGGTCTTAAGTTTTGGAAGGTCATGTTCTCATTAGACTTTACTCAGTCTTCAGGAAGGCGTGCCATAAGATAATGTAGTATCTGCATTACCTTAGCAAATCATGAAACATTTGGAAACAGCAATAACACATACCTCAAAATCTTCCCTCAGTTGTTGGGTCAAATGCGATTTTGGGTTGCTGTCCCACCATCTGAGTTTACATTGCTCAGCCTGCAGGGACATGTTGTAGAGACCAGAACCACTACATTAAACTTTATTGGTTCTGGTGACTATGGTATTCCTTTGAATAGCGTGAACAACTGTAAGGTAATGCATAGGGGCAACCGAATGGTGTTGGCCTTTTCGGTATTGGGTCATTCTGACACAGCTTAAAATATATGCAATCTTTAATTTAAAAAAAATAATAATAATATTTTAAAACATTCAAATGTTCCTTTAATTCTTATCCATTCAATGTGATTTGATGTGTTCTCTAAGTATTTATCATTAGTGATGTCCCGAACGGTTCGCCACGGACTTATGATTGAGTAAACTTTGACCCTGTACCTCACAGTCAGCAGACACATTCCAGCCAATCAGCAGCAGACCCTCCCTCCCAGACCCTCCCACCTCCTGGACAGCTCACTAAGAATGCAGCTTCACATTGAATGTAAAATGGATGCTGTCCAGGAGGTGGGAGGGTCTGGGAGGGAGGGTCTGCTGCTGATTGGCTGGAATGTGTCTGCTGACTGTGAGGTACAGGGTCAAAGTTTACTCAATGATGAGTCCGAGTGGAACCGTTCGGGACATCACTATTTATCATACATCACTGCTAGATGCTATCTTATGCCCAGCATGGGTTATTAACAATGACCTGTGCGTATTGATATATTTTTTATTGATGTCATCAAGAGGGCCTAAACCTAAAGTTTATGTTTTTCACAGCGCTACAAGTAGCATAAACAAATATGCGCTACAATTTATTAAAAGTGTGTTGTTTTTTTCCACACAATACCATATGGGAGAACGAAAACCCCAATACAAATTCAAAGAAAAATGAACACAAGTTAAAAATCACAGAAACAAACAATTAAAAGGAAATAAATAATTAAACAAACCTGTTTCTGTGTGTTCGTACAAACTGTGCTCTGATTTATTTGGTAAGCTCTCTATTTACTTCGTGCCAACTGAAGATAGCAGCTGTTTACGGAATCTTCCAGTTCCAGTGCCACTTTCCTCTAATCAAAGTGTGACAGGAGAGGTGCCCGGGAGGCTATTTAATCAAATCTCCTGGCTGCAGTACTGTTACAATACATTAATTTTGTTGTTGCTTACTTAAGGTGCTTTTTTTTTTTTTAACGTGTGCCCCAGAACTCTCTTTTCTGCCATCTTTTTCCTAATGTGGCATGAAATTGGCTACCCAATCACATTCCGTTACAAACAGAGCAGAACTGATCTTTAAAATGCAAAGCTTACTGGGTGCCAAGGTGGCAAATGCAGGCAGAATGGCGATGGGTAACCTGATTATTATAGGAGTACCCAGGTATAGATATCTGCCACTGTGCATCACCATGCAACACCGCGAGCCAAGGAGAGATCATGTCTCAGATCTGTCGTGTCCCTCAGTTCCCTCTTGTGTTTCTTAATCCCCCCATGTCTCTAAAGCCCATCGTGTCTTTCACTCCCATCTCTAAGTCCCCACTTATGTCTTTCAGCTCTATGTCACTCCAGGGTATCTTATTTAATTTACATTTTCCAGCCCTCAAGGTCTTTCAAGATCCCATACAATCATTGGTAGCACCCCAAAGTAATGTCAATGTTCCTTGATTACCACTGGAAGATTAAATAAATAAATAAAAAAGGATAAAACAAAGAACATATGTGAGCCTTGTAGCCAGCAGGATGACTAATCTATGTGGGGTGGGTTCATCATCAACGTCTCTGTGCATGGCATGTAGAGCTTCTAGGAGTAATTAACTTTTCCCCTTATCTTTAGTTCAAAATATTGTAGTTATTTTATGAGAGATCTTCCATTCCACAGCCTTACAGGACTCCTGCCATGTGTAATGGATTTATTAAGATGGTCCTTACATGTTATTGTATAATTTCTATATCATGGAGAAGACCAGTCATTGGGACGTACTAAGTATTTTCCCTCTATCTCTTATCTCTTGTTGCAGGGAAAATCAGTGGAACGATGTACTCGAAAGGTTGCGGGTCTGGAGAGGGATGTAACAAACTATTTTCGTACAACACTGGGTCGTTTCAGCATTACACACAATTCATTTGTTGCAATTCAAATAATAATTGCAATAATATTCAAAAGTCTGGTGAGTATATTCAATAGAGAGAAGAGGCATGACCTACCTCAACAAAACAAACACTGTAATTAACAGACCAAGTCTCCAAGTTAGTGGTGCAATTAACCTTTTACGTAACACTGAGACTTAAATATTTGTATAATTACAAATGCATGGCACACTGCAAGGGGTAAGAAGATACAATGAGTCTTTGTGTATTGTGCCCATAGGCCCAAGTGGCTATGTTTAAAATTAAATGTATAATACAATATAATGGGGTCTCCTGATTCCTTGATATTAAATATAAATGCCGGGCACAGGACATGTGGACGTTACACTCTTGGGCAGTAGTATCTGTTTGCAGCTTCCACCATTGAGTCATTCTTCTTCCAATAATGAAAGGGAACGTGGAGAGGTAGAAACAATGCAACTCTGTCTCCCCAGTTGCACTCCTGGCGTTTCAATGCTAGGTGAAGAGTTAAAGGCAACCGTCAAAAACAACAATAAATGCAAATTAGGGTTTAACATGTGTGTCCCAGTGCTGCCCTAAAACTAAATGAACCCTGGCTCTAACTTACCCCCCTACACTAACATTACCTTTAAAGGGACAGTATAAGCACCAGCACAACTTCAGATTTATAAAGTGCTTTTCATGTATATGTCATGACCTGTAGTCTCACTGCTCAATTCCCTGCCATTTAGGAGTTAAATCACTTTGTTTATGCAACCCTGCCCACACCTCCCTGCATGTAACCAATCTCCCTAAACATTTCTTGTAAAGAGAGATCTAATGTTTAAACTTGTTTTATTGCACAGTGTGTTTAATTTACAATTTACTTTCCTGTGATCTGTTAAAAGCCTGCTAGTTGATGCAGGAGCCTCCTATGTGTGATTAAAGTTCAATTTACAGAGCAGGAGATACAAACTTCTAAAGTAAACACATTGTGCTGTCTGATTATTATTTTTCATGCACGCTGTGTCAGTCACAGCCAGGGAAAGCGTGGCTAGGGCTGCATAAACAGAAACAAAAGTGATTTAACTCCTAAATGGCAGAGAATTGTGCAGTGAGACTAAACGTGCATGATCTTTACACCAAAATTGCTGCATAAAGCTACAGTTGTTTTGTTGCTTAGAGTATCCTTTTAACCCTAATTAAAATAAATAAATATATATATATATATATATATATATATATATGTATATATATATATAATATGAAACATATATAAAACTAAAATTATGGGAAAACAAAGTAATCTTTGTGTTCTGAGACATTCAGAAACTTCATTTGGGCTCGTGGTTTGTTATGAGATCTCCGGAGCTGGTTGTCATCACTACTCGTAGAATACTACCGATAGCAGTCTTTTTAATGAAGTCAGTGCCATGATGTCAAGTATTTCCTAAAATGGGACACTACGGATAGAGAGACTTTAAAGTAGAATTTTATTCTTCTATATTCATTCTGCATGTTTTGGACACTTTGTGTCTAATGAATTTGTTTAATCCTGTATTAAGTGTAGTATTGGATTGCTTACAGGGTGTCTGCATATACCTCTTTTCTACATATTTCTGTAGGGTATATTGTAACACATATATTGGTTAACTGATAAACTATTCCAATGACTGCCTTGTATTAAACATCATGATATTTTGTTACCGTTCTGTACTGTGGAGGTTCTCTCCCTTTTTTTTTTTTGGACTTTGTACATTTAAAATCAATGCATATTTAAACCTGCAAAAAACAAAAATAACGCAGAATTACATGAACATCAATAATAGGATTTGAATATTAACTAAAATCCTAAATCTACATTCATGCAATATTTTTACCAATAAATCTTCAAAATCCACGTGCTAACACCATTCACCCTGTGCAGCAGATTGCACCTTAGCAAACTTAAAGTTGCGGATGTAACCATTGGTCAGTGTTCCAGGTGTGGGATCTCCAGTAAGTGGGATCTCCAGTAAGTGGGATCTCCAGTGAGTGGCATCTCCAGTGAGTGGGATCTCCAGTAAGTTGGATCTCCAGTGAGTGGAATCTCCAGTGAATGGGATCTCCAGTGAGTGGGATCTCCAGTAAGTTGGATCTCCAGTGAGTGGCATCTCCAGTAAATTGGATCTCCAGTGAGTGGGATCTCCAGTGAGTGGGATCTCCAGTGAGTGGGTAACAGGTTCAGTTTCATGCTAGCCCTTCATCCTTCTGAGTTCAACAAAATGAGTTCCGTAGTGTTGGTTAATAGTTAAATAATTTGTCGTTAATGTTATTGTAGATCAGATAATCTGACATAGTGGCTGTTATTCTTTGGTTTTCTCCGCAGTTACTGTTCTGACCAACGTCAACGGCATTAAATGCTGGGGCTGCCAAGAAACCGGAAATGGAGAGTGCGCAACACAGAACCAGACTCTGGTCAGTTGCACAGGGCTTCAGATCCGATGTATGGAAGCATTTGGTAAGAATCTGTATTGTATGTGAACCTCATCCTGTAGAAGTCTGTTTTAGCCCATATTGAAAATTTCTGTAGAAATGGCCTAACTAGCAATAATAATAATCAACAGTAATGCTACATTTTTATATATACATTCTTGTTTCCAAGGGTTTTGACTAGTGCCTTTAGGTTCTAAACTTAAAGGGACACTATTGTCACCCAGACCACTTCATCTACTTGAAGTGGACTGGGTGCATCGTCCCTGCCCCACTTAATCCTGCCCTACTTAGTCCTGCAATGTAAAACAAGGTGTTTTTTTGAGAAACTGCAATGATTACTTTGCAGACTGTCTCTAGTGGCTGTCAATGAGAGAGCCACTAGAGGCACTTCCTGGATCCTAACGGACTCCATGTCTCCTAAGTGAAGCATTAGGTCCCCCAGTCAGATGACTTCGGAGGAGGCGGAGCGCCGACCCAGCGCCAAGGGACATTGCGTTGGAATCATGTGAGTGAGTAAAGTTTTTTTTAACCCTTTAAATTCTGAGGGGGGTCATAAGTGGGGGGAGAGGGGAACAATAGTGTTAGGAATACAGATTTGTATTTCTAACACTATAGAATCCCTTTAAATGGAAACTGTCACCTCCCAAGACTTTTAATATTATGCTTTCTTATCCTCTATATTTAACAAATATGCAATTTTTATGGATAAAAAAAAATAAATATTAAATGTAGAAATCCACAAGAATGTGTTTAATCCCATCTTGACTCCCTGACAGCCATTGTTCTAAGCTCCGCCCTTTGCACATGTCAGTCAAAATAGTGAGAACAAAGAGGAAGGGGGAGGGAATCAGCCACAATGTTTGTTTCTTCTCCTCTAATACAAAATGTGCCATTTTTGTGTCAAATCATTTTGTAGAGGTTTGAAGAAAACTGTAGACTTTTTTCAGCACGGATAACCGTTTTCTCTTCTGCGGCCGTGTTAATGTTGAATTTCCACATTACTAATATCAACTCAAGTCCAAACTGGATGGTGGTGGTTGGCTTAGAGCCCTGGGGTAGGTTATCCCACTGCTGTCAAACTATCACTGCTGTTCAGGTTGAATGGAATTGATAATGCGGCTGGAGATGGGGTGGGCTTCATGTGCAGGAGAGAGAGCCCTGATTTTCTGTTGAAGCACTCCAAAACATTTTATTTATTTATTGCTAATGGATGGAAAGGTGGAACAATGAAATTATATCGCCCTGGTGGGAAATAACCAATGTTATATTTTCTTGTTTCCAGATGAGAGAAACCATACATGGTTTAAAGGCTGCAGTACTGTGAGCTTCTGCTCTTCAGCTTACCCTTACCTCAATACCCTTCCCAGCATCTCGGGGATAGAGTGCTGTGCTGGGAGTTTGTGTAATAACTTCACAAGGATATATAACACCACAAACCCAACTGTCAGCCACGCTCACAGGACCAACACAGACTTCAGGTTATTAATTTTCCTTGCCAGCTTCCTCTTTGCTACATTAGGACATTTTCACTAAACGCCCCACCGGGCACTTGCATTTATTTGTACAGAAGACTTTTTATTTATATTATTAGACAGTAGGTAGGAACAAGGATCTAGCTCAGAGATGATTGAATACCTACTGCTTTCCAAACTCTTGGGTCAGTATTAATCCTTAAGCCTGGTTTATGGGACAATATTCTGAATGAAGCAAGCTTCGCCCATTCCCAAGTCTGTTTCGTTTCTACGACGCGGTGTCAGATCGTCCATGAAGCTCCTGAATAAATGGATCTACAGATAACCACTTCCCTACCTTAAATCCTCCTGCAAAACCTAAAAAAAAAATGATCTCTAACTCATGCTAATTATCACGTTTATTGCTTGCAATTACCAATATTTGAAACATTTTAAAAAGGAATGGAATATGACTATCGATATCACATTATTTTGGAATATATAACTAATTCTCAAGCAGTTATAAAGTTAGTATATGCTGATACCTGTAGCATCTTTGCTATCACAAACATCTCCGTTAAAGGGATATAGAATGAAATAAGATTTTATTTGACAATTAAAGGGGCACTCTAAGCACCAAGAGAACTTTAGCTTAAAGAAGTGGTTTTGGTGTACACAACATGCTTCTGCAGTCTCACAGCTCAATTCTCCATGTTAAGAAGTTAGATGACTTTATTTATGAAGCCCTAGCCACACCTTCCCTGGCTGAGACTTACACAGCCTCCCTACACACTTCCTGGTAAAGAGTCAACATCAGTTAGCTTTCTTTATTGCACAGTGTGTTTCATTTAGAATATTTTTTAATCTACTGCTCAGGTAATAATAGGCTTTTAGAGTCTGTAGCAGCCTATTATGTGTGATTTCAGTGCAAACCAGTTAAGTTATTATCTGCCAAATTGCTAGTGGGATACAGAAGAATTACATAAGATCAAATAAATTCGGCTTTTTAAAGGTGGATGCAGATACCTGGATTCAGTAAAGGAATTCATGATCACCCAAGTACGAGGTGTAAAATGGACATATGATATGGCACAGCTAGATTCTAGTTGATATTTATGTAGCCTTTGTGTATATTTTTATATAAGATGTGAAAATGTATAATATAATTAAAATATATTTGAAAACTTGGTAAAATTGCCAGTTTGTTCCAATTCGTCTGACGGAAGTTGTTACAGTAACCTAAATATTTTCTCCTATTCACCAACACCATCTATCTCAATTGTTTGAAGGATTGAAAGTGTGGCCTCAAGCCATGCCTCCAACCTTGTTGAATCGTCGTGTCTCTCATACCAATTCATACTGTGATGTCAGCAAGCACACACACCACATGCATGCGCAGTCTCCTGAGAATCATAGCTCAATGATTCTCAAACAGGTTTATTTAATAAAGTGAGAACTGACTGGTATTCAGACTAAATTCAAAGTGAATTGAAAAATTTGGACCAAAATATTTCAAAAGGAAGCACAGCTCACTTTGAGAATTTTTCCAGCTAATCTATTTTTGCCTTAAATTTGAAATTCACATCGAGAGGCGCGCATGTGCCTAGATCTACGAAGCTTCTAAATAAGAACATTGGAGTATACCATTGTCATATAATGTAATTACATTAAAAGGGGGCAGAGCAGCTGGGACTGTTGATGGCACTGGAATAAAGGTAAGTAGATTAATTATTTTAGATATTACTCATTATTGATGAAGTAGCCATAATGTTACAACATGCATTAGACACAAATGACTTATTTTTAAAATAACTGTAATAAAACAGTATAGTTTTTTTTAAATAAACATTTCCCCTGGCTAATAGCTAGCTGTGATTACTGGTTAATTTAGCCACATTATTGCAAAGCAAAGAAGTTCTAATGACATTAATTACTGTCAAATTTATATTCAAGATAGGAAAAATTAAATAAGTGAAGTGGTTAAAGGACGTTTAATGCAGACAACTTTTTGTAACAGCCATAACATTTAAATCAGAGGCGAATACAAGGTGTGTCCAGGTAGATTCTTAGTGCAAACAAAACGAACCAAAAGTTAACCTGACCTTTGGCCAAAGCCCTATATATTTTTAAATAAATAATGTATTTAATACCACCGAATGAATATACTAGTATGGAATCAGCCGGCAGTATAGGTGGGTCTATTCAATAATGCTTTTGTATTAATATATTTAATAGTATTATTTAAATAGTATGACCATTCATCAAGGGCAATTGCAAACTGCACTGTCAGGAAAATTACAGAAACCAGACACAAGCTCAAAATTCAGGACTGTCTAAAAAAAATGGGACAGCTGGCAACTATGCAATACATAGAAAATTGCCCTACCTGCCCTCCATTTAACCCCTTAAGGACCAAACTTCTGGAATAAAATGGAATCATGACATGTCACACATGTCATGTGTCCTTAAGGGGTTAAACTACAGTTTTGTGTTTACCTGCTTGTAACTCGCCCATATTATAGGATTTTGTGGGCTATTAATTAAGTTTATATGATTTGGTGAAAAAAAAAGTTTATTTCTAATTTTAGAATTTAGCAAAATGTATGTATGTTTGAGGAGTAAAAATAATTGTCTTTTATGAATCAGTATGCTGTTTGCCTTTTAACTAAAGACAAAATTCCCTGAGCACACACGCAATGATATGTGCTGCACACACCTACTCTATACGTGTTTCGAAAACCACAAGAACAATGCAAATATTTGACCTAGTTTGGGATGTTTTACAGCAGATTGGGGAGTTTTTTTTCGTTTATGATTTGTTAACCCCTTAAGGACACCTGACGGAAATATTCCATCATGATTCCCTTTTATTCCAGAAGTTGTGTCCTTAAGGGGTTAAATGACCTTAAAGCAACATTCCTAAAAAGACATACATAGTCATAGACATGCACGGCACATTTCAATAGGGTGTAGAACTGGGAATTCTTTCTCTGTTATTTTTTTATTTTATACAAGGTGAATATGTATTAAATAAACACTCCAAGAACCATAATAACTAGAGCCCGCTATGGTGGTTATGGTGCCAGAAGTTGTTTAAGAATGGTTTGATCCCCCTGCCTGCTTCAGCTGCACTCTTGGCACACCACATGTGCACGCCTATGCATATAGCTAATTATTTAAAGGGGTACTCTCCACACCACTCTAAAATCTCTTAAACACACTGTAGTGGTTATGGTGCCAACATACCCCTGGCTTCATATAGCAGTTCTGTGTCCAATAATTTTTGAGTAAATATTTGATGCAAACCAAGCATTCTCCTGTGACTTGGGCCCTCGCTTGGCATATTGCTACTACAGAATCTACACTTTTAAGCTAGCAAGACCAATTTCATTCATATTTAGGGACTGAACCTAAAAAAAAGGCACTGTACCAATATATAGAAACCACTATGTGCTGACCTGTTCATTAGCAGGAACATACAACTGACAAGTGGTCACCCGTTAAGACTGGAAGAAAAGAGTTTTCACTTACAGCAGAGGAGAGGGTTCTTTACAGTAAGAACAGTAAAGACATAGAACTCTCTTCCAAAGATTCTTGTGTTGGATGCCTTTTTGAAACAACTGAATATTCAAGTATATAAATGATATGTATGTAAACAGGTTGCTGATCCAAGGAGAATTTATTTAATTTTTACAATTATTGTAAAAAAAATTAAGCATTTGTATTTTAGTATGTAACTGTATTTAGTGATTACTTGCTGAACATATAAAACATATACAATATAAAAGAAAATTGTCCCCTCTTCCTTAAAACATTTTATTTTATTTCCAGGATGTCAGAATTTTTTTTTTTTTGCATTAATTTGTGTATTCTAGAAAATGTTATGTATCACCTAGGGATAGTTACACATATTTAGCTTTTAACCTCTTCAGGACCAGGTAGTAGACAAACACAATGATATCATGATGGTTATAGCATGTCATCTTTCCTGAAAGGGTTAAACTTCTTTTTCCCCTAACTGGTGCCAGCCGCGTTGACTGATTTATTAATGTATTATGAAGTGAACCATTAAAGCCCATAGCCTAACTGTACATTGCAGTATTGGAACAACCGTCAGGAAGTATTGATTTGCTATCTTACTCTAAGACAAGGGTGGGCTGTTGTAATTGTGATATGATTAACCAACGCTCCCTCCCCCAAGGTTTAGCTTCATTTTTGGAAAATATTTCAGGACATTGACATAGGCAGAGCAAGTCCATTGAGCCAAATAGTATTACAAAAAGAAATCAATAAGTATAACTGGAAAAGTATTGATTATTTTATATGTGCTTCTTTTTAATAAACTTGCTTAGTACATCCAAAACCAGTTTGACTACTCACCGCGGGAGAGTGCCAGGGGGCTCATTGTACCATACCCACTACAGCATGCCAGCGACTCTTTTAAACTACTGTACTTATATGTTCCATAGGAAATGTGTCATAAGAACATGCACATGTGTGCATAGTACTTCTCCTGTGCGTCTGTATGGGAGAACACTGATTGGATAAAAACGTTCATCCAATTCCTTATGTCTGTTGGGTAAGAAATGCTAGAGAAGAGTTGGAGGAGGTAAGTTTTTAGGTAAATATATTTTTCCTGTTTAGTCTTACTTTTTAAACCTCTATTTGCATTCATTTTGTAATGCATTACGTCCATACGTCAGTGGGTTTTAAACACACAACCACTTATTTAAACCCATGTGCATAATGGCAACTGCCACCCGCCATTTTGCTTTGTACTTTGCACTAATGAAAGCTTTCATAATGGATAACAGATTCTATTGAGTAGTCAGTAGTCCCAATGTCTGAGCACAGATTGCCTTAATCTTTTGTCTTCTCAGAAGTTTAATTTGACCTCCAATGCCATTGTGTTCATTCACATAGTATCCACTACACTCTGCAAACCAGCCCAAACACACCTGGGGACACAAAATGCTAAATTCACAGCTAAGTATTCCAAAATACATACTTACTGGTGAAGGGGGCCCATAGGAGCAGGAGTAGTGGTGCTCCTCCAGTTTTTGTGAGGACTACTGATAACGTGTCGGTCATTTCTACACTTCCTATTTTCCCTTTTATTAATTACTGGAGATACTGTTGGTTTTTACCAGGGCACGGCATCTCATTGGGTTCAGTGGATGGACCCAAAAAGTCAGGGTGGACAGTGGCCAACAATCTTCAATAAGTTTTGCTTAAAGACCAACATTGGCAAGCACCAACCTGGGATGGAGGGGTTGAGTGGGTGCCAGGTCAACATAGGGTCGTTGTCAATGCTGGCGTTTGCATGACTCAACACTAGTGGTGATGAGAGTGGGATGTCAACCCGCGTATGTGTATGTCAGCATGGTAGGGGGCCTTGCAGGCATTAGATAAGCTGCAAATTGTGCTGCTATAACGCTCTTGTAAAAGCCGCACATGGCACAAGCGTATTTAATGAAATCATGTCGCACTTCATGTTGACTTTTCTTTGCTATGAAGATGGACATTAGAGAAAAGAATTCTGGGACAGCTGGTTTGAGGGTGGGGCAGTCCCACAAATTCAGTACTCCAGACACAGCGTGGAGATAGTTACAAGTTAGCAGACTGTGCTAGATACTGAGTTCATTAGCTTGAATAATGCCAAATCAATGGAAATCTCTTTTTATTTGCAAGCAGGGAAAAAAACAAAACTAAATATTAAATTTGCAACAGCAAAATATCCCATTATCTTGTGGAAATGTATTCATAATAAAACTAAAACTAAAATATTAAAAGTACCGGTATTTCAGGTTTTTAAGGAAAAAACGTTCTTGGTTCTTTAACTTACAGCTCCCCCTCCTGGACAATTACTGACTAAACACAGATCTGTATAGCTGCAAAACATCTTCTACCATTGTGTTTATTGTATTTACTAAGCAATGAATTGTGACAAGGGAAATAGTCAAACACAGCGGAGTTCGAAAAATTCCCCCCGCACTTAACAATTCTGGCCCAATTTTACAATTCATATAGTTAATGAGCACGTGTGCAGTCATGACTAAGTAAGTGCATGATTGCTGTCCCTCTAGAATGTAAGCTCTCTCGAGCAGGGCCCTCAATACCCTCTGTTCCTGTGCGTCTTAATCATCTTGTTGCAGTTACATGTCTGTTAGTCCACCTATTGTGCTGCGCTACAGAATGTGTTGGTGCATTATAAATAATAAAAATAATAATAATTACTGCATATGCAACACATACGCTTAATTGCAAATGAGTGTGTGTATTTGTATATGTGTGAGCGGCGCACATTTGTATCATTCAGTTGGTTTGTACTCGCAAGTGGGAGAAATGAGAGTCCCTCTGTCCATAACAACCTCATCTCAGTAAAGTTGTTATGGGGGCTGGTAACGCAGGTGCCTCCTTAAGGGGTTAAATATTTTTCATGGTGTTATCCTGAAGATGTATACCCAGGTCCCCGTCACTCTGCCACCTCTGTGTTCATCCTCAGACGCTACTTTAAAATTAAAGCATTGGCAGGGCGTCTGCTGATATAACCCCGAAATCTAAGAGGGTGCCTGAGGACTCCAGCCTCCATAACAAATTCATTGAGAACTGGG